CTCTAACATGGCAACCAGGTCTTAGTTTACCATAGCTGCCCGAAAAATGCTTTTTAGGCAACCTCACCTAAAAAGATCTTAAACGAGGCCTTTTCTTATTAAAAATATCGCTACCGGCCGAAACAGTTTCCGGATCAAATTCACAGGCAACTAAAAGCTATCTAATGCTTGTTTTTTTTTTGTGGACTACAGAGATAGGATGACACAAAAATTGGTACAATGCCTGCCAAGTGAAGTCCGTTGTTGTACGAATCGCGCTCTATAATCTTTCTCCAAGACCTTCCACACAGTCGTTCAGATAAGAGAACGAACACAAAAGCAATCAAGAGGACATACGTTGCTCTGTGCAGGTTCACAACGTCTTTAATATAAAAAAAATGCTTGCTACTGATGAAATACAACAGTTTGTACATAGTTCTCATATTGGTTCGGTAGTAAACTGGATGCAAAAAGACTTACTAGAAGTCCTTGCTGGATTTCTACGCCTGAAGTGGACTCCTATTTAAGGAACAAGAGACGTTGATGCTGACTACAGCTGGGACAAAATGGTATAAAATAGGCTCGTATTGGGATTTTATTTGAAGAAAAGGTCTCGTTTGTTTGGTGTGAAAGCGTTTTTAAATGGAACTATCATCAAAGAGAACGTTTTATTATTTTCGAGAATGTGCGTCGTGTGTGTATAGCGGTTTTAGCGACTTTTAAATCTGCTATGGCAAAAAGTAATCGTTGATATATAAGTAGGAAGCACTATTTTTGTAGCAAATATTCCGAAAACGTGTTCGACTACTAGAGACCGGCACTCTCCTTTTCTGCAACTAGCCATCTGTTATGCATCTTATTATTTTATATACCCTTGCTCAAAAGCTTATAAATTATCGTGTTCTCCCTTCCTGCGTTAGACTCTCTGAGAGACCCACGAGACCCGACACAAATAACCTTGTGACTTTTGCGACTACGCTTTTAGGTATATGTATTTATTAAAGAAGTTAAGTTCTCATTTGGTAAGTTGATTGTTGTGTAAATGTTTCTATATATGTGGACAGGAACGCTTAGCATACTGTTGTTTCAAGCGTCGATTTTTCTTAGATGGCAACAAGAAAATGATCGAATCAAGCTTCTTGCTATCTTTGAAAATTTCTGTAGGAGTTTCCAAATAAATTTGTTGTTCGCTAGCGTTTTACAAAGAGGAAAAGGGTTTCCTTGTATATCTAAATCATGTATATCTATTGTATATATATTGTATATCTAAAGGCAGCGTCATGTTGGTTTCGATAGGCAGGTACGAATTATCGTCGTAATGGGCCGTTTGATACAAGGAACTCTAATGATGAGTGCAGCTTTCTTATCAACCATAAAGATAACAATATATACCACAATAACACGGAAAGCATTTTATTTAACCTTGTCCCTATCAATAGAGGATAGCGCTACGCTAAAACAGTCACCACACTTTAAAGTAGTACTTTTCGGTATAATTTTTAAGTTCTTCAAGCGAGTAGGTAGCATCTCGAGCTAATTATGCGATGAAAAGCCGCTCGATGTAACACCTGTCGACTTTTTCGAAGCGTGATTTGCATTCAGTGCTTAAGCAAAATATTTATATTTAAAAATTATTATACTTAAAGATAAAATATACTCTAATTAATAAAGTTACAACTATCCACGACTTAGTGATTTTTGATGTTGTAGTTGGGATGCCAAAAAACCTTTTTTTTTTTTTTTTTTTTACCAGTATGCTTAAATTTAGCATTTCCTAAGTCAAAAGTAGCTACAAGTTCTTTGCTATGATGCCGCAAACTAGTTACGGAATCCTATAATCGAATGCAGTAGACGAATGCGCCTATAAAAAAAGGTAAATATCGATTTTCCGCTTATAGAAAATTGATTTGAGACGAGCAGTGTCTAATAAATATGTCTTACAATCCTGACATTACGCATAGCTTCATATGCGTTAATATTAAGGATTCTTTAGTAACTAAAAACTACGTTAAATTATCCATGATTTAATTTAAATTACTACTCAGTTGTAAATATAATCCTTGGAGTATATGCTAAATTCTTTTTTAGCGTAAATCTTAAATTCGTATCTTAAATTCATTTTTTAGCGTAAAACTCATGGGTGTATTAAGTGCTACCCCTGTAAGTGCATTGCGATGTGGTCAGATTGGCTTGAGGCCAGTTCCTCAAAAAACACAAAATTACCAGAAGAACAACATAAAGCATTCGTACCGTTACCAACACAATTTCCAGATTGTTCATGACCAAGTTATTGGGAGCGACGATAGTAAAGAAGCTTTGCTCTTCCAGTGTATATACTTCTCCGTATGGATTACCATCATTAAGCAGACCGTAGAGAGGTGTAGTAAAAAATCAACATTTACCAGACCGAAATGAGCGAACGCGACACCAATGTCTCGATCTAAATGTTCTAAATGATAGGAATGCTGAGAAGGTCCAAGGCAGATGTCGCTTGTACGTCAAACGCAACACCCAGAAAAAAGCCGGATCATCCGTTAAGATGACCGCTCAGTTATACCGACCCGCTGAGAGTAATATCTTATCAGATCAACTTAGTTATGACGAAATTTTGAAGAATCACAAGGGGTAGTTCTTACATTTACTTTAAATCGTTCAAATGATCGCTCTTTCTGAATCGTACTAGAAGTGACGACCACAAATCATATTTCGAGTATTCCATAAAACCACAGAATAACTACGCTAGACTTCAAGAATTACTCGACATGACTTTGTATCACCTTCAAGTAAAATGAGATTCGAGGCAATGATACTCGAAGGCCTACTAAGATGTACATCATTGTATGTTATGCCTGTATACCACATGCCCTAAATGTCTAAAATAATTACGCCGGATAGCCTATTACTACGTTGTTAATTTTCGGCTAAAAAAGAAAAAAAACTAAAACCTATATAATACACGGTTTCGCAATTAAGCCACTTCAGTTCACATTAATAACTCTTGACACCTAGCAATCAACTCCCCCGAGACTCTTCCCAGGTTCACATCTAAGCACTTAAACTGTGCTAGCAAAAGGTCGAATCTCCTATTTTATCTTGTCTAAATTTTACTATACGTCCGTGGCTATGATCAAAGTAAATGTCACACCTAACAGATCAGACGAGTAGACTTAATCTGCAGCGATCTCGGTCACCTCCGAGATGGAAGTGCTGAAATCCTCAGTGCTGAAAATTGGCTTGCCGCAAGACCGTTGGTCGGTCGCAATGGTGAGCTACACTGTACACGCAGCACCTCGCAATATTGCCGCCGCTTTCGCAATTCGGACGCAAAACGAACCTGGCAAATAGTACTTCCCTTAAGCAAATGCATACCTAAGTCTCTACAGGTACACAGTCCTCGCCAAGTTAAGCAAATCAAATTATCCTTTTTTGTATTTGCACGTCTATGATGGTCAAGTTATATGGCGTACCCGATTATACTATTACACTTTCTAAAGATTATATTGCAAATCAGCCAAAGCGGCGATACCGTCCCCAATGTACAGGTGTTCAGCATATTTATAGTTGCACAGACGGTCCCGTCAAGCTGTAAATTGTGTGCCTTGTGTAGTCGATAGTTTTAGACCTACTACGAACAAACATACAAATAGTGTACAACGCTAAAGAAAGTGCCAGCCATGACCAAGGCCATGCCATTCTAATCGAACAAAAGACATCGACATATGATAAGCAAACATCTGCATAGCGAGCTATAGTATAACCCTTAAGAATTGTGCTTTAGCCTAGGAATTTTTGGATTCAAGACGATAATTGTTTTAGTATCAAATCTTTATGCAAGGATTACCCCGCATATATTGGCAGGCTGTAACGTGAAGATGAGTGAACGTGTATGTTCACTCTAGATCTAGCCTCTGAGGCAAGAGTAACGATTGCCAAAGAGCGCTTTCGACACTAGTTTCATGTCGGCCTTAAGTTAACTCTTAATGTTGGTGGCTCGTCTTATTTTTACGCTAAAAAGTTATGTGATGGCCCAATAGAGTTTTGATATTCTACAACAGTAGAATGTCGGAACCATAAACGATTGTTTCAGGTAAGACGTTCCTCTAAAAAAATTCCGGCTGTTTTTAACTATATCAACACTCAAGGAAGACTAGGGGACATGGCTTCAAGCACTACAAAATATACAAGTTTCAACACACTGTATCCTTTCAACTAACTTTGTAGTCTGTTAATTACGACACTCTTTATCAAAGAGAAGCCGTCGAGATATTTCGATATCGTTTCGACTGTTTCGTTTTGGAGAGGCTGTGTTGATATCTTCAACATTTGTGCCCGTTATATTGATAATAATTTTAGAAGCATTTAGTAGCCTTGGTTCAAATCCGAATTTCCGTTTTTGTGCTGGTTGCCACCCGTTTGATGGGGCACCTAACGGATGTAAAACGTATACATCTCTAAGACATCAAACGCTATGTCCGCTGGTGCCTCATGCATACATATAGGCTGTCCTATAAATATGTGCATTTTTATTTTGGCTTTAATTCCAAGAATTAGCTGTGTAACTCTTCCTGTCTCTCCACATGTCTAAAATGATCGCGGTGCTGGTCAGAACATTATCGATCATCTTTATCTCTACATTGACAAATTTCGACAAACATCGAATTTTGGCTTGTGGTGCATTGTTGCTTATTTCCGGCTTGTACATCTTTCCGTGTTGTTAGTTTTTTAGCGACGACTTTCTTTTTAAGGTACCCGCGCGAGGAAAAGTTGATTAACTTGAATCAGTGAATTTTTTAAAGTAAACAACATGAAAAAAAACTATAGCCAGAATTCATGATGACTGTTTTTTGGATTTATGAGATATACGATGGCAAGAAGAACTGTTGCCCTTTATGAGTTTATGTATAGTCATAAAAACATGAACATCATTGAAATTCGTTTGTAATTATTGGTTACAATAACATCGTTATCATTGAATATGTTGTACTACATCTCGAATTATATATGGACGGATGAAGATGAAATCGAATAGATCGCGTTCATACCCGTTTGTGGTAAACAGCCATTGGACTACATGGTCAGTAAGTGTCTTTCTTTGTACAATAGTTTAAAGATGCTTCACGTGCGACACTCGCGAAGAGAGAATGAGACGATTTTACAAAATCGTACAATGGTATTTAGTTTGCGTGCAGGAAGTACCTTCGACCGAACTCGACAATGCGCAAAGTCCTTGGGTAACCTTATTTGGTTGGCCACTAACTATCCACTGTTAAAGAAGCATTAAGCGTTAAGCGTTAGTATAACGAGCTTAATAAAATAATGAATAAAACGATGAATCGGTTTTGGTTCGCAAAAACTTCACTTCTTGAAAGCGTACCTACGCGACCTATACGATCCGTGTATCTAATTTCTTCAAATTTGCTATTAGAGTCGAGAAAAGGGAGACGTAAATGTTCACAAGGTCAATACGGATCTTTTAATGAAAATATTAGCCGTTCCTATATTGTAAAAGCGTGAAGATATTGGTGTCTTTTTTTTTCGTAATTAATTGCATCTTTTCAGCTATTTAATTCGCTCAGCAGCGTTTAGTACATGCCAAGAGACGGAAAGTACCATATTATCCTTATTATAACCTTATTATTATAAGGTTGCTATTATTGTTATCGTTGGAAATAAGCTTTGTACTTAGGCATAAGGTGCCACACTTTGCAAGTATTTTTCAAGACTCAGCCTAGGAGACGCCGGTCGTTTCCTCCAGAAGGCTAAAGGATAAATTCAGAGAGTGTACAGTTGTATAGCTATGGCGGCTGAACATACCAATTGTTGAATCCATTTTTGCGAGCTAGGGCGTGACCAGGATTTCCATTTACGACAGATCTGCTCGTAACCAAATGGAGCACAGTTGCCACTGAAGTTTACTATGATGATACAAATGGCAAAAAGACTCTGCAAATATGATTCGAATTAATCAGGGTTCGATATAGAAGATCATAGGTTGAAATACTAAACAAGTAATCTGTTAGTAACAACAGCTCGAAGTACGACCGCCTAAGATATTCTCAATTGTGCATCAAACGAATGAAATGCCTGTTCAAAAAACTGCATATTAAAGAAAATATGATAGTAATTAACTTCATACCATAGTCGTTTTAATATTGTGGGGTTAAGCGCGGTGCGGTTTTATTGGGGACGCAATACGGCCGGTGTTTTCCAAGGAAGCCGCTTGCTCTCCTGCGATGCATTTATCTATTATATTTACTTGCAATTTTAAGCACTATTTCACAAACTAAGCATAATAGATGCTCATAATAGAAAACAATCTGCAGAAGGCCGTAGTCAAAGCTACACACCATGTGTTTTTTTAAAGGAAAAATAATCGACAATGCCCTTCACCCCCTGTCTCCTACAAATCAGCTGATTGACTTCCACCAACGTAGCTTTCTAAAAATGAGCTTATATACACTTTGGATTTGGAATATAACAAAAACGCCTTGCAAACTCACAAAGCCATTAATTGGACTTTTTCTAGGTATGAGACAATTAGAATGGAGATATTCGTCCCGAAATGCGTTAATCCAAAGACTGCTTTTGATGGCACGGTACACCAACGGGCCATTCAGAAAGTAGCTAGATAACGAGATTTACGAGTTTCGTTCGACCGGCAGATGAAGTTCCGAAATCGACATAAGACTCCCCCCCCCCCCCCCCACCGTATCAATAACTTGAATATCAGGACGTTCTCCCCACAATATAAGCCTAAGAGCTTTATTATTATTTATGAGCCTTTGCTTATATCCTAATGTAAGATCATTTTTTTTAAAAAGGGAGTATTTGTATTGTATTAACAGTGTTCGTTTGGTGACCAGGCATACGAAAGACCTCGGCATTGTGTTGAAATTCACAACTTTCTTTTTCAGTTGTAAGTCTCTGCATTATTCTTGTAAGCTAGTGGAGTAACAGGATAGATAGATACAGAAACTGAAAATCCTCTTTCGCTAGAAACAATATTTTTTACTCTCACCGAATCGGCTATAACAAGTGAGCCAATAATACAAGGCATAGCAAAGATTACCATTTGTAAGCTACATTTGGCCATAGATATGCTAGATGATCAACGACACGCACACGTTTCACGTGCGCCCGCTGCCGCATATCAATTGGAGGAGATATGAGCCTTGGCAGCAATCAAAAATCAGCAGCTCCTACTTAAAGAAAAATATGCCAATTCTAATAGTTGGTGAGTCTACGTCGCGTGTCGTTCTGACATAGCAAAATGCAGTCTACGGACACAACTAGCAAAAATTATTATATATGTTGATGTATATACCTGTAACTGGATAGTATAAGCAGCACTATCTCTGTTACCCACAAGTATAGAAATGGGCTATGCGATCGGAGCACTGTTATTACTGCCACTATTAATTTGTAGCACAACACAGTAAAATATGCTATGAACAACAGCTATGGTATTAATTTCCAAAATGTCCATATATTGCGACACGCAAAAAAGATGGGCGCACTTTATGTTAGTACTGCGAAATTACCGGTTCATACAAGGAAGTTTTCTGCAATGCATGAAGGCAAGGACGTTTTTCGAATCTTCGACCTTCGTCCCAGCCAAAAATATAGGTATCAACTTTAACTACGTCTGCCCGGCAATCGAGTCACACAGCTGTAAAAACTGCGTAGAACCTCGAAACATCTACTTCAAGCTTGCACCTCAGAGTAAAAGCTACAGAAACGCTCTGAGTGACAGTGGAAGTCTTTTTGGTGTCACCCAGGTCCGTTCAAATGGGGCATCCTGGAACTACGAAGTGACCGAGGCAAGCTACAATACGTAAAAAGTGAAACTTACGCCAACGTTCCACGACTTGTGGCACACAGTGAAGAGCAAAACGAGGTGTACATATAGAAGAGGTGGTGAATGACGCACTGCTCCAAATTAAGGGCACTACAGGCCTTTACAACAATGCTCTTGCTTCGCCACCTTTTTACCCTTTATGTTTCGAGTCCTACGTCTGGCATTGCCGTCAGACACATCATCAGACGGCTGATCCCCAAAACGAGACGGAGTGTGTCTATACCCGGACTCGAGTCCACAACATGTTCCTAAGATTAGCAGGCAAATACGTTACACGTACTACACGTACAAATAATGATAGCGCTTATATCGAAAGAATCGGCAATCACGACTGTAAAATTATCGTTTTCTGAAACGGCCCTTTTTCCTTATACAATTATATACTGAATTAGTGATGAAGAAGGAACAGCGAACGTTTTTAGATCAGCCGCAAAGCTCTTTTCTGTATAATCTGGTTGTTGATTAAGAATTTAATAGGAAAGAAAATTAAACTTAGTGTCGAAATATTTAGTTAACGTAAATCCGCTCGAATTTATCAATTTCACCCCAGGCCGCGCCGCGCGACCTGAGCTTTAAGCGCATAAAAACAAACAGACGGCTGATCAGTTAATAGTTTTAGAATTGAAGCTGCTAACGTTGGTACGTGCTTAAAATATCCGTTTTTGAATAGGCCCTTTTTACCACATCCACGCTAAAACACTGCAGAACTAACAGAACGACGACACTATACTGCCGTTCCGTTAACTCGCCTAAGATACATCATCTGTACAGCTTCTGAAATCGACTCCAAATCATACCTATATAATATTGCAGAAAATCGTGACTCTTGAAAATAGTAATAGAAATACAACAATATTTGAAGTTAAGAAACTGATAGAATAGAAATTATTAGACGTTTTATAACCTACCATCCTATTTTTAAAAAGGTCAATTAATAATCAAGCTGATATTTCAACTACATTATATTATATTATTGAAATTATATTTAGCAAGTTATATGACCTTAGCGGTGCTTGCGAGATATCTAAAAATTTATCATTCCACTAGAAAACTGATTATAAGTGATCATAATAACGGAATAAAATAACGACGTACATACGTGCAACAACCATACTGATACGTTCCACAATAATCTTCTCGCACAAATGCGTACTAATGCACACGAGTTTGGCCTTAGAGTGTCCTCGTTGATAAACCGTTGCGTGGATCACTTTCTAAGGCACATTAGACATACGTCGAACATGCTGATTGAAATTCGAATATGTTGGCATATCTAAGTAGATCATCGTTGGGGTCCTCAGTGCGTATCTGAGTGAAGCTAGGAAATAAGCTCAAGTGGGAATCGATCTACGAATGGGTATCTTCTAGCGTTTAACTTCGTCAGTTGGAGAGCTGCGGCTTTATCAACCATCATTGCGTACTTGTTTGAATTGCGGTAAAACGATCGCACACGTATAGGCGCCTAGAATATGCTTTTGCCTTGAGAACATTCGATAAACATAAATTATTTGTATACTATGAATAAACTTTTGAATGAATAAACATTCGATCATTGGATAAACATCGATCGAAGTTTCGTACGGTACTATTTGAAGACATTGCAGAAAAAACCGACGTCCAAGTTATTATAGATAACCCAAGTAAAAGAATATTAGGAATAACTTCCTCGGAAAGTTGGGGCTTTTCGAAGGAGTTGTTATATTTTTGCCCTAACCTTTTTAACCCTAGCATTTTAACCTAAAAGTCGTATAACAAAAAAGTTCCATTAACAAAATTGTAGTTATTGACAAGGCGTGTTTAGTAACTTGGCTTATTTCTACCATCGGTAATGATCTATTTAACTTTGCCGATGAATTGCAGCTCTACGTACGTCATTTTACGTCGTAACGGTTCGCTCGGTGGCGTTTATATGGATAGAGAAGAACGACTAGCGTTGTGCACGCGGTCCTATGGACACGAAACAATACTGAAGTCGAAAGCCCTAGAAGCGGTTATGACGAAAGCACATTTGTCTTGCTGGATTACTGATTAGTGGAGACGTGGAGTCGGTAAGCCAGTAGCTATCTGTGTGCACAAGCGACTGCGTTGGCAAGCGTATCCGCAAAAGGGGAACGGCCCAAAAGAAACTAGGCCTGAGTACCGAAACAGAGCCCCTCTATGGCACTTGAGTGAAATCTATTTGTTTTGCATAAAATTTGCAAGCATGTTCGGATTTGCCAGTGAAGATGGACACTACGAATGGCTGTTTCGTGTCATATATTACCATATTTTGCGGTTAACTATATCTTGTACGCGTAGAGCCTTGTCGAGCTCTCTGCCTTCGATCCTCCACCCCTATCACTGGCTTTTCCCATTCTCAGTAATCTCAAGAGCACAATATGCCGATTTACATGATAACCAAGTATTAATAAACGGTGATTATACTAAGCCCAACTGATTAAGGTGAGATTTGTTACACCTTAGTTAATGCCCCGTTTCACCTCTAAATTCACTAAGTAAATTATGCTCGGGCTGCAAGTACCCAGTTAGTCATCGAAGGACATGCCCTCCATTTTCTTACATACAAGTCTTATTAACTACTCAGTTATAAGAAGCCGTAAGTCGAAGGCTATGCAGTAATAAGAAGAATGTTAAGAATTAAAACGTTTGCGAGTCAACTATTTTGTATGTCTATGGCTAATGGCGTTGGGAAGCGAAAATAACTGCTGCGATAAACAACGAAAAAATAATAGCTAAACGTATGCGTATTTACCTGTCAACCCACTTTTTCTCTATCTAGCAGCTTATCAGTACGTCTTACACCATTACAAGCCTAACTTTGTTCTCTTCTATATATCTGCATATATTATGTCCAGATATGTGGATGCAATTAGCTTGATTGGATGTTTCCAAATAAACATACCCTTCCATTGAACATAAACGTTTTCAATGTTGTTCATTCAATGTTCAACGCAACAAAAGAAAGCGTGCGAAAAGTCTTTTGTATTGTAATATCTATGTAAATTGTTTTGTGATCTAAGTTGACAACAAGCATAAGCATTGTTTGATTGAACATCTACTATAAACTAGTAATAGGGTATTCGTTATAGGGTGTGAATCCTAGCCCATATGTCATAGGATGTCAAACGCCGATCAGGCTTTAAGAAACTAAATTCAATTACTCTGAATGTCATGTTACATGCAAAAGCCTAATTGTGGTATTCCATTTTTCAGCAATGTTGAATGTCTTTTTTTTTTATTCCTTATATAATGCCATTTTCTAGCTTGCAAAGATGGTGGACTGCTTCTTATTTTCTCTTTGAAAATAACGATCACACCGAACAACAAAGCTTTTGCCAAGTACGAAATAGACTGAATAGCAACGCATTGCGGTAACAAGGAGAGGTGGTTTGAATCGTGCTGGATTTCGGATACCGTTGCTCAGACCATGCTTGCATCAAGAGAGTCTCGGAGCAAAAACACAGGGCGGATGCGGATCGAGAGCAGTTTACAGAACAGAGTATATAGGAGCAAGTTGACGAATATTAATTATGTCTTTTTTCAGCTCTCTAACGCCAGCCTCCGTTTTCTCCACCAATGGTGGTTGCTATGTTAAGGCCGAAATAATTTTGCACGTGGTGAATTATCCACTTAAGGTGCTTCTAAGAAATAGCCAACGACAGAGATGACGACGGCCACGACGACGACAACAAGGATAAGTTAGATAGGCTCGACTATATGTGGAGAATATCAACGAGTATCTAATAACACTGTCATGTCATTCACGCAGACTCTACGGGAGATTAGGCCATCGATAGGCGTCATGGGCGGGATACAGCGCAAACGAAACTGCACACTTCTAATAACCAACGTTCTTATCGTTCCGACTGAGAAGAACGACGTCTCGTCACACCTGAACTATCTAGACTGATATACGTCGCACTACTTTTAAAGTCATGTTGCTCTTGCGGTAGTACGAGGCACATGCTCCCCCTATTGCTCCTTGACCTTTGCTTAGCGACGGTGACAGCGGCTTCAAAAGCGGCTGCAGTGCTCGGGCTTGCTGACGTTTACGGGTACATGGCAAAGGCGTGTGGTTCTTTGTATGTTTATCTGCGAGGACGTGGGCCAATCAGGAATAGCAGAGGGTTACGGCGAAAGAGGGAGATAGGCACCTGCAAAGAAGCGCTGGCGAACTAAAAGTACAGGCTGCTGTTCGCCGAAACAGAATGTGCGTTGGAATACAATAAAGTGAATCTGTAGCTTGAGAATGAACCTGCGATCTCTCAGCTAGTTCAATTAGTGAATCCCGCGATGTGCTGGTAATCGCAATGTCGACATGAATATATACGTCAGTCCGTAGCTCAGAAGCTTTCAAAGCGTATTGCGCATTCGGATTTAGCGCTACTTTTCGGCCTAGGCTGCAGACGCAAAAGGCCTTTAAAGGAACAATCACAGAGTGCCACTAAACAAACAGAATGAATGTAAGTGGGTGGTCTGGAACAGGCCGCAAATCCGCTACCGACACAATAGACTGATTTGCTCACCTTAAGGGAACGCGATTCAGTCGGTTGTCAGCAAACAAAGCAATCGTTGAGAATACTAGTGCTAACGGAACACAACTGTGTGTAAAGAACAATAGAAAACCAAAAGAATGACAGCTGGAAAAACTGAGGAAAAGATTTACGTGCAACACATTCAGTAGGTATGTGTTGTAGCGCTTAGCCATTTGTATCATCATGACGTTTACAACTTTGCTGCTGCTGCTGCTGCTCAGCGTTTTTGATAAGGGCCGTGATAAAAACGGATATCTACGAAATGTGTACTTCTGAATATTTACGCTTTTTGTCACGGAAACTAAATAACAGAGTGTGGGACGTCAACGAAATACTAACAGACACATAGAAGGTGACGGGGTAATTTAAACCAATCCTGAAGTAATAATGAAAACTTGACAACGTAACAAGAAAGTAGAACATAACACACCTATGTTCAGCCCGGATCGAACTGATTTCTAGCTAAGCTCAATTCAGTTTAAAAATAAAGGAAAATGTCTTTCTCTAGAATGGACGTTATTCCCATCTGACTAGTTAGTTCATCGATAACAAACAAAATTTTAGTAATAATATTATTTGTTATCAGAAAACAGCCGAAACAATTTTGGCCGATCCGATGACGATTACTTACAATGGAGTAGTGTCTTTCATTGAGTTAACTTTTTATGGGCAAAGCACTGTCAGAGTATTGCGTAGTTTAAATTTAATTGAAAAAGTACTTATACAAACAGCGAGTCTACGTGGCCCGTGCCTAATTGATGCCATAAAAAGATACGATTAATCAAATGTAATAGACTTATCACACAACCATGAGTAATAACTTGTTGGAAGCTAGGGGTGATCGCTATGCATGATAACAACATGTAATTACCGTACGTAATCTAATAGAACTTCTAAATAAAATAGAACTTCAAAGCAATACATATAAAATATTTTCTCTATTCAAATGTTTAGTTTCAAATAACAAAACTTCAGCTGTATCCATAGGAAGTAAAGCAAAAAAATCGTATGTACCATATCTGAACACGTGTAGCAATAAACTGATTGCCTCATCTAAAAGATAGTTAATTACACAAAAGGTCCTGCTCAGCATCGTTGTAAATTATACGATATTTTATTTCATGTATTCAACAAGATATGCTATTCTGGGTCGGTATCCTGCAAAATAGCATCGTACAGCACTTGTCTTTCATCCAACAACTACTCCCTATAGGACTCCAAAAAGTTGGCACATTGGTGCGTCCTACATATCCTTATTGTACACAAACTTTCGGCTTGATAAAGCCCGTTATGCAATCCGTCAAGGCATTATAAAAGAGGAAACACGGCCCAAGGCCTGCCTGGGGCATTGACATAGGTAATCTGGCTTACTGATTCGGCAGCTATAGTAAGGGTCGGGCGTTGGAACTTCAAAGGTGTTGGTAGGTGTCGAGATGCCTCCGGCGGTGGTCACAACAATACGTAATAGTCAAAGTTGGGGGCATCTATTAGACAATCAGCCAGCCGATTCAGCTCTGTAGATAATGGAAGCAGATAGATGATGAAAAGGTAGATGGATCGATTGCGCCTGGTCGACCGTCCGCTAACTTGTCCGTGCAGTGCCACTCTCGCGATACAATAAATGATAAAGGCAACGTTCACTGACGTGCTGTCGCCACCAATCCGCTTAGGCGTTCCCCTAATTCAGCTCGTTGGTGACCCGCCGCTGCAGGCGATTCTTTCGTAGGCCATGTATCATCGTTTCTGTCTTACTGCGCAGACGCCTTTCTTTGGCCACCCTGCATGCTGGCGAGTATTCCCAACAATGTCCTTATTAACCAGGGCACATACATAGTCGAATACCCTTTTCTCTGACCCGTGTTCAACAGGCTTTTGAACTCTGGTTGCTACTTTATACGGAGTCGGGCGGCACGGCAAACGGTTTCGACCCGTCATAGCGGATCGATCATAATTCACTAAGTGGAGGTGATCGATAGCGATTCAGTAGAGATAGGGCGGGACCGAGGCAAACATTTGCCCATCTTTACCTTGTTTTGTAAAACCACATCTCGTTCTTCTCTCGGTATTATTCTGCATAGACTTAAGCTAAGTTTTTCCATCCTTTGTCACACGCTGATACTTACGTGCAGTACGTATAATGGTGCAATACCTTTTGGTAGAATGGTCCCTGGAAATACTTGGCCATCCCTGAAGATCAGCACAGATCAGATTGTCTAGAAAACATGGAATTCACACTCAGTTAATTATCAATGCCCCTTTAAAGAAAATATTTCAATAAGTACGCTAATTTTTAACGCTGAAAAATGCTTATGTTGGCCTAGCAGAAAATTACAGAAAACAACGCAATGTAGATTGAGTTAATACAGGATTGTTATTATAATACCTTATTACCCTTTATAAGTATAATTACCCTTTATCACAAAAGCAGAAGCCAATTTTTTATACCTAGGCCAGTTCCGAGCATCAGGTTTAATATGAAAAGCTCATCTAATAAAACACTATTGTTTTATCTGATAACTCAAAAGCTATTAGAAAATTAGATTTTTATATGATATGCATATTAAAGTTTTACCTGTTGCTTGACGTTTATTGGAAATTACTGGCAGCCGATTTCAAGGTCGAAGAAGTTCCCTTTTTGACATATTTCTTCGAGCTCAGATCCGTAGATTAGCTCTTAGTGGATTTTGTCCCCACTCATTTTTCGTGTCGAGATTGTCCGTCGTGCTTCTTATCATGCCTTCGTCTCTTTCGGGAGTTAGATCGTTTATTGTCGGCGCAATGGGCATGCGCTAAGAAGCGCAACAGAAAATTACCGTATAATTACCGGAATAATACCGGAAAATTACATATTGTTGAGCAGATTTTTGCTTTCCATTTGCCAGTGAACCATCTCGCGGTGACCATTTTTCATCGCTGCGAGCATCTCTACCATCATAAGCTGCGCAGCAACAAGAGTTCGACCTTCATAGCGATACCTCAGCAGCCTCTGCTTTGTCGTTCAAAACGTATCAGACACTTAGTATGCTCTGACGTCTGTCTAAAAGAGGTACACTGCTGGACGCCGTGAGACGCATCGAGTGTATGTGTACATACAAGCTTTCCTGCGCACCATCTGATATTGGACCAGGCCAAAGGTGTGTGCAAGCCAAACATGCGAGAACGCTCCGTACTGTGTCGGTGCATCTTGGTGTTGTTCAAGGAGACGGTTTGTGGATGGATAGACTGTTCGGGTGGAAATGTCGACGGGGACCTCATTACAAGGCCAGGACGCATCCGGTCAATCAGGCGATTGTGAACCTTCTGCTATCCTGGGTGGCCACAGTAGCTAGAAGTTGTGGATCGACCACGCAGAAAGGACGTCATCGGAAAGACTAACCTGGTATCATCACCCTTGGTACTACCTTCTGGATAAGGTACACTGTCGCCGGTCTGCGTTTGCTACTGTGTTCCTTTAACAACAGGTCGGGCAGTGCATTCGTCGCAGACCTCCGCAGATAGCTTCGAAAGGATACTTCGAGGGGACAGAAGGGAAGAAGAAAAGGAATTGGGAGACGGGTAGAGGTAATGGATGATTCGGGAATGGGTGAACGAGGCCTGACGAAGGCTGTAACCATCAGGAAATGGATATGTGTAATCAACTAACGTCCGATAACATGACTTGCCCCCTAATTCCAAACCACTCCGGTTACTACCTGCACGAATACTGACTCTATGTAAGCAAGAAAGACCAATGAGCCTTGGAGTAAAAGTGGACGTCTCGCATAACCACATTATGAAGAGATCGTACAACATAGAGCATGTAAATTTCCTTTTTGATGACCACCATTAAACGAAACTTACCTGTCAGAGGTACGTGCTACAGGAGAAAGATCATTAACAAATCGTATGACATAGATAAACACATCCACTGAATAAAGTTGTGGGTCTAATGTGCAGTGAAAAAATTTTACTTATTACTGATAATAAATGCTCGTTCCAAATACGCTTAATATTCAGTACTGTATATATAGGTAGAGCACCGTAGCCTAATATGGCTTTCAGCGATTTGTTTTACCAACTATTTATCAAAGTATCCCGCACCGAAAAACGTCTAAAAGATATCTTGCTGTTTTTTTGAATGGGACCTAAAGGTGTAATCGGTAGGAGTCCTAGTGCGCTGAACCTCGTGCAAGCGGAAAAAGTGACTATTAGTATATTATCACGTTGATGACAGATGTATATGTGAACTTCTTTTGGTAGATCTCCCATTGCCTTTTCTATTTTGTAAGAGACCAGGAGAGATCACACGGTAGCCGATTAAGCTAATCTGTACAGTAGCGCAGATTGTTGATCTTGATTGACGCTAGAAAGACCTCAAATCATTTTTAAATAAGTAACAGAACACAACAAGTTCCTTCGTGAAGATTGACTCAAACGATTATGTCCTCTGCTACATTCTTCATTTACTCCTAATTAGTTTTGTTAGTCTATAATTAATTAACGTACCATAACAAAAATGGTTCGTTGACTAACAAGACAGCAGAGGTTGAACGCTAGATGGCTTGCCTATCTACGTACGAATGTACATACCGAACGATGTGGGCCATATAGAGGGTCCGTAAGACTTTGTCGTAGTGCTTTTCATACTACAAGCTCTATGCTGACAGTACACCGACACATTGGCTGGCTGGTGTATACACAGTATAATTCTGTTTACTCTATTGTAAAACACAACCTGCATATATTCAATAGCGTCACGGGTACCAAACCAGCGTTCATGGTGCTACGCAAATTGAGCAGTATATGAAAAACGGTAAAGCCTCTCCTGGGATTTTTACTCTGAAGTTTTTAGATCTAGCGAACAAACTGAATAGGATGACCACTGCATTTTAGTATGTATCCTCTGCTGTGTCCAATTAGTCTCCTCGTTGCTTAAGGTCCCATAGCATTCTGCACCTATTGTAGGTGTATGTTTCATTTGCGCAGACCTGCCGTTAGACGATTCACCTGTTTTGGCATCTTTTTCCGTAACAGGCATTTTGGTTTGTTAATCCGTGTAACTTTCTCGCGCTGATTATATAGGAACTTTTACCTATTTCAGATCCAGTCTGTCATCACTTAACCGACGACATTGGAAAAGCTCGCTAACAGAGGCGTAACTTGGCACCCCCGGATATTGTGCTTCATAAGAATCTTGATGACAGCAGCAGTTCTATCGTTTAACAGGCCAGTCATGCAACTTATGCGAATGCGTCCTTGCTACCTCTCAATTTCCTGTAATATTCCATTTGATGTATACCCGATAACAACCCCATTCTTATTTCGATTTGCCGATTTTTATTATTATTTGATCTACTATGGCACCTACAGACTCTAATCTAAGGATACCATTTTAATGGTACACATATCTTCGTCACTTTAGTAGTATTACTTGTTTTGCTAGATAAAAACAGCCAGCAAAACTATTTCAAGTGATATCCTGGTATTAATAAAGTTATCACTTTTTAGACATTCACATGACAAATACTGGATATGATAATACAACACGCAGGTCCCTCCACTCATATTTTATATATATATATATATATATAAATATATATTATTTATACATTTCACCGCGTTCATAGCGTCGCGTGAATGTTACGCCCGTTGTATTCGTTCTCAAAAAACCTCTATTTATTGTAAAAGGATATTGTTTTTCGTAAAGCTCTAACTTACAACTTTTGGGCTTAATTTAGCTGAACACGTCACGACCCGTAACGAGCGTAACTTTTTAAATATCAATTTTGTCAAAATGATTCTCTATTAAACGATTTCGTTTTACAAAGCTGATTATTAAATTAGATAAACACGCCTTTCGACACAACTCGGTAATCTACGTCTGGTGAACTGTGCTCCAGCTAATATTATTTTGTAGTAGTCCATTTTTTTTTATTGCATCTATTGACGCTGTAATGAAATAGCAATCCAATAAATTGTTTAAGTTTGCTGTTTGTTGAAGTTTAAATGAGTCTGCTGGCTTCACGATGACGGAGAAGCTAAAAGTAGCGCTTTTTTCTTTTTTAATTTCACCTTTCTTCTGCTTCGCTTTTTTTTTTACTCTAAAAGGAACAATTAGCAAAACACGTGTAGATGTATATGCTCGGCTGTCAATTACAAACAGGACAGTTTGGCCGCATCATCGACTAGGCCTTAGAGGTGATCATCAACATGGCCAGCTTGCGAAAATGAAAACGTTAAAGAGAATAAAAGGATGCTAGAACTATGAGGGCACATAGCGTACAGGAGTGTGTCAACCCTATTTACTTGACACCGTTGTTCGTGGGAATGGATCACGATATTTCAACTCGTCCTGTCCTGATCCTAAAAGCTATCCACCAATGGTTTACTAATTAAACGAATATTTGTTTCACAAGTCGACTGTCACTTAAAAACGTTAAGGTACACATACGTTTTCCTTCTCATAAAAACGACCACAATACTGTGGTATAAATTTCATTGTAATAACATTACAAAGTAAAAAATCTCGTCCTCGATGTATATCTCCACTAAATGTGATGTCCGTCTACCACCTCTTGATCAATCCAAATGTTCGATATATTTTAATAACACTTTAAAGAAGTGCTATATTGTAGACAACTAGATTGGCGTAGAGGATTGACTAGATTCACGTAAACTAGAAGAAAACACTGCATCATTACTTTTTATCGTTCTTTTTTATAGCCTAACTTTAACTTTATTTATTTAAATTAATCTTTAATAACATTCTCCTTCAAATCTTTTCCAGAGTAATAAGATATCACGTTAACCTGTCTATCGACTTAAATCGTATTACCTATTACCAACATGTTCCTGCCTGCATGAACATTATGCACAAAATATTCCCTGAAGTAAAATAGTCAGAAAAATACGAAAAAAGCGCATAAATTGTATGTAATATTTACAGACGCGTGTATAAAAATAACACTTATACGAAAACCATTAACATTGTCCGCATTTATTCTGTGACAAATTCGTACTAAAATACGCTTCTCTCTTCCGGTGTCGAAATGTTTACAAGGTAATTAGTACGCGTAGGACTAACTTTGTATATTTTTTAATCCTTTTATATACTTTGAACAATCGTTGGAGTTTGTCAAGGATGAGTATTTTGACAAACATGCTGTTAAGATTACGGCTTCTATAGCGCATAAGCCTGTGTCTCGACTTAATGAACACGTCCCGACTTTAATGCTAGGCATTCATGATACATTCACGGTAAAAAATGTATCATAAGTAAAAATGATTTATGATGTGTTACTATGGCATGTTTCTTACCCGGGTTCTAAGATATGCAAAGAACCTTTGTACTTTCGAAAACCATGGACTTCATATCAACGTAGTACCACGTCACAACAACAATAAAGGTTATCAACCAGCATACCCAGAAAAATACATACACACAACCTTAGCTCACTAATTTTTCTTTGCAATCGGATTTGCAAATTGCAGCCGGATTTACATGAAGTGTAGCTTGGCCTACCGTAGATGTTCAGCAAATGAATACCGTTCCGGTCAATACACTGCTGATAACAGCGGGATCCATGAACTTCAACAAACATTCGGTTTGGTACTTCCTCAATGGCTCTTTGATGTATTTTCCATAAGGGAAAGACCATTGGCTCTGGTATGGTATGGGCAGGGTATTCAACATGACAATTGCCTTTAACCAATCTGTTTAAACTCACCTACTTAATATATATCAAGGGATTATGATATTACAGTGTTAACACGTTATTCACGTCGTGCATCTGACATTAAATCGCGCATTGAAGTATGTTTACCAATATAGCCGACAACCGTGTGAAGCCACTCGGCTTACGATAATAAATATAACCCGCGGCAACGCGACTGCTTTTAAAAGAGTTCAGGCTTTGCCCTTTTGACTTCTGCTGTATCTCGTGGAAACCGCGCCATCATATGCCGCTACTGATTCCGAAGCTGTTAATGCCGCTCAGGCTCAGTTCCGAGGCATCCCGCCTGTCGGCGTTCTTGGGCCTCTCTAGCCAGTTCGGCCCAAAGGCCGGAAAGCGATTCGAATGTCATTTATTTTAAATATAATGAGCAAAAATCCCATCCGTGGCAACAGCTTCTAAAGCAAGCTGTCCTTTCATCAGCAGATAACAACCTCTTCTGTAACCATTCAAATGGTACGCTGGGCCAGCCCGTCGCATTTGGTGTCCCACATTCGTTTTGATGTGGCAGTCTGCAACCTGCCGCGATTCGAGGCAGGTCGTGTTGTCCATCACGGCGCTGAAGCACTACGCAGCTTACAGCGCTCGGATTATGACATCCCATGTCGCTTCCCGAATCGACGCGAGCTGGACGAGACAAATGTGAAACGGTCAAGCAATATCAAGACCGGGAAAGGTTGATCGCCTGCAGGGAGCTCATGAGGTCTAACCTCATTTTTTCGAAGGGAAGGTGGGATTAGATACTAGATGGAGCGTATTACGCTCTGTACTTAGGTTATGCCGTTGGTAAATTTCATGCCGGGCGAACACTTCCCGGACCCGCCTCGTAAGCTCTGGTAATAATAGGAGGATAGGCTCTTCAACCGACGCGGGTGTGAACAGGGTTTCCATTACACATTCGAATTACCTGGGAAACAGTTCAGAAGCTTTAGTTCGAATACAGTGCTAGGACGGTTTTTTCGGCCCCTATGCACGGCGTTACTCCCATTGGTATGACGTATCCCCAATGGATCTACAGTGGTTACAACGCTAGTAATTGTCCTTCTTTATACCTCGTGAAAAACGGCTTGTCCAAGATGTCGATGCCCTTGCAACGCTGACCAGGCCCGAAACCGTCAATGGGCTCGCTGGATATCGTGTAAGTACAGGTATTCCGAACATCTTCCATTCTCTGGCGAACGCTACTTATCGAGCAACTGGAAATAGATTGCGTTTATGTTTGCTCATTGTGCCGTGTCCATCACCGGCCATGGAATCGAACATACTTCTGCTCGACGTTTCTGAGTTCCAATACGCGCTACTTTTTTGACGTCCCTTAAGAAGGCCTTACTGGGTTACAGTAACCCCAATCAATCCATCAGAAAGCGTTTCTTCCGGACGAAGGTATAAAAACCTTTCCCCTGTCATCTCCTCCAGACAACGTACTCTAATGGATCTCACGCCAGCCTTTATCGGAATTCCACAAACACCTCCGCCTTAAGGTGCGCCTACGTTGCAGGCGTTACGATCCAACGCGGTCTTGCCGACCGCGAAAACAACTCAGGGAGTGGTTTGAGGAGCTGACATAGCTGCTTTTATATATGCATATGTATATAGAACAGTCGCTGCTTTTCAAAAAGTAAAACCGCTGTGATGACAACGACGCCGTTAAGATTACGGTCTAAATATTGCATGAATTTGCGTTTACTCATTACGTTACCACTCCTACATATATATATATATATATATATACCATTATGGCAGCCGATTATTTATATATTTAAAACAGTGAAATATGATGGTATACAGAATGTTACTGGATTGAAGCAATAGTTTATTCATCATAATAATTTGATAGAATTATTTAAGTTGAGATACATCGCATCTAAATATCACTAAGGCAAACATCTAGTCAGACTATGTCCCAAAGGCACAGCGATGTCTGAATTTTTGAAAAGACAACAAGACAATGAATAACCCAGTGGGTTTCAGTCCCGGCGTACCTCAATCGAATTGGATCCGGGAGATTTTAAAATAGTTTTTCTATTTATCTCGAGAACACGGAGATTTACAAGTTGGCTCGTGAGTATATAAGAGCACGCTCTAGGTTACAGTTGTCATTCAATTTTTCTAGGTTTTACCCTTTTTAATAACTTAATTTTATTTAATGAAGAGGATATCTCATCAATAGCCTATTTTTTTTATGAACAAAAACTTTATTGCCCTGTTTCTCTCAGACTGTGTGCCTTTTCCGCTAGTTTGTTTATCATAGTCTCATAATGCGTTGGGTGTCGAAGAACTTTTGCTATTTCTGCAGTCGCGGACCCTTACCGTACAATAATAATGCATTTCGAAATATAATATGAAACCATACTAGTTATTTGAGCAATATTTTTCTAAACAATTGACTGTTATGACAATCTCAATAGTAATACTATCACGATTTTCGCAACGCTCTCGTAAACTATATATAATTTTCTAAGCATTCGCCAGAAAAAAAAAAAGTACGTTTGAAATGTATTGGGAATTGTTTTTTTTTTTTTTTTTTTTTCACATAAAATCCTTATAGTATGGTTATTTCGAATGTGAATAACGGCCAAAGGCAAAATAGCGAAAAAAAAATACTTCCCGTCAAAGAATCCCTTAAAATAAATAAAGCATATAAACATTTCCATATATTTTACTCTTCTTTTTGATCTAGCAAAGCATATCGACCAATGCTGCATTTCTAAGTGGATTTTTTCGTTTTCCGTCAACTGCACCGGGTGACTTTAGCTGCAGAATTTAGCAAACTGGGGACGTCTCTGACTTCGATAATCTCAATACATATATTTGATATGTATTTGCCTTGGCGGTATCATATCGTTGTGCGAACCAAAACAGATAAACCTTCGCACGCGTCCTATCGATGGTAGATTATACTGTGATAGAACGCCAAGCGCAGCCTTCCGTTAATTAAAAAGCTGCATTCAGAATGCTACTCACCTTAATGGCTATTGGAGATGCAAGCAATGCGTGAGTAAGCCTCGATATTAGTATACTATGGGGTAATGCACTCTAATTCAGCAACTGTAATATATGCAGTAACCTAGGGTAAGCTAAACGTTTAGGATTAATTTAATGTTTTCCCCAATGTTTGTAGACAAACGAGAGCCGATAGACGTCAAGCGATGAGCACAGCAGCCCGTGTTGCTTGCAATGTTGGAAAGCTACAGCTTGGAGTACCGCTGTTTTTCGTAAAAATTTATTATCGAACTGGGAAAATCATTAAGGTGACACTCCGCTGATTAACTGTAGCTCAGTCTAAGGTAATAAATAAAATTGTTACACCTAAGGATCAGAAAGCGTGACGGTGAGTGTCGAACGCCTACCTTACTCACAAAAAATCGAAGAGAAAAAGGGACGAAGAGGCCATTGGACACTTTTTTCGTGAATGACAACGGCGAGCTCTATCGCGACATGTTGCAAACCATCCAGAAGCCGTTGAATACAAATATTAAGTTCCAATAATAGGAGAGCAACTTGCCACACCAGGCTTGCAACAAACGATCTACCTGAGGCCATGTTCTCAAAATGGCTGACCTCGATGCGGGGCGGCAATATCGAATAGCCACCTCCGTTCTGTGATTTTACCTTTTTCGATTTTTCCTGTAAAGCTATGCGAAGGACAGAACCTGCAAAAATTGTTGAAACAATTCGCTCCCCGACACATTATATTTGTGAAGGGATTGGTGCAATTGACGCTGATGTATCCATGGCCGTGACCCAGGATTATGCAGAATGGCCCAAATAGTGAAACCGGTCCGCACCCAATTTGCTGAAAGTGATTTTGGCAGACATTGTTTTCTACATATGGCGCAGATTACGTTAGGCTAACGTATGAATAAAAAGATTCGTAGGAACTCTATTTTCCTTGCCTTTCCCTTGGGGCATTTAAGTTGGCTGGAACGTTTAGCCCACCTTACACGACCTTCTGATAATTTTCAAAGTAAAATAAAACTTGCCGATATCGTGTTCTTCAAATTTTATTATATCGTAGTATATAGTTTCGTTCAGTTAGCCCTATCTGCTAATAGTTTATTCTCCAAATCAGACAAATGCTGGTCTGATCAGCCAATAGCTTAAATTCGAATTTTTGGCTAATGGACAAAAGCGTATAGTAACATGTACTTCCTTCCAATCAAACATAAAACTTACTAAAAGTAAGCATTATTGTAAACAACTTTCTCCATGGCGTTTCCTTTCACCAGATTCATTAATACTCTGACGATACTTTCACGTGAGATGTTTATCGTCGCTTGTATTTGCTTAAAATTTAAACGCATAACTAGATCAAGCTTTCACCTTAAATTTAAACTAATCTTTGTAAGATTTTAGCTGTTGATATAGGTTTCTACCATAGGAACGTACTGCCATACTAGCAAGACTCTGATTGGCAGAAAGTGGTTACTAGCAAAAGCCTTCTTCAAGTACGTTACGTACGCGAATGCATCCAAGCCATTCCAGAGGTCGAGGGATTCGTTCTGTTTGTACCCCAAACTGAAAGAATACGGATTCACGCCGAGTATATGTATGCAGTGCAAGTGATGAAAAAAAAAAAAAAAAACGATGAGAAGTGAATCTTACCATGCAAATTGCTGTCGCGACAAGTAATAGCTTATGATCTGATGAATGCGTGCCATGCGGTAGTCGAATATTGATCTTGAGGGCGCTATGAGGGCCGTCACATCGAGAGATGCAACCCTGTTCGCGATTGTTTCTACTGTCTGAACTCGTACCTGTCTGTCTTCCGGCACCAACGGATGTTACCTGTCGCCGTTAGTTTAGATTGAAATCAAATTTCATATGGCCTTATTACTATTTGAAGTTAAGTTAACAGAAAATAGTCGATTGATGATCAGTCATTCCGAAGCTTATCTAGGATATGGAATTTGAAATCCTTCGTTCTAATATGGGAAGTTGATTTATTTTGGGTCCTAGTTAATCGCTTGAGACGCGTTCGCTTCTCTTAACAGAAAAAATTGAATTAGGTTGCAATGAGATGTCCGAACTCTTAGGCTCGATTCTACTGGTCTTTATATTCTATTTGTTTTTGTTGGACTGCAAATATTACGATGTGTGAGGACATGTTGCCAAATGTTACCACGTACGGTATGAGAGCCCGATCCATTATTGGCTTTAAACGGTATACTATAGAGCAATTGTAGCATGCCCTCATTGTAAACTCCGTAGAAATCGTGATGTAGCGCAATATGTCCAATGACGTGTCCGGGTGGAGACTCTACTGTGAGAGACTAAAGCAACAAATCACCATTAATTATCCTATTCTAGTAATTCTGCCTGTCTAATAGAGAAATTTTATGTAACGCTATAGCCTAAACTAGAGACGCAACCTGAGATGGATTTGTCAACAAATATACTACGTTCACCATAAATAGCATATAACGAGGCCTTGGGGGTTTTCTTACCATTACCCTAATAGGTGCCAACTCTTCCACACGCACGTAAAAAAAACTTGTTTGTTTTAGTTAAAAATTATGCTGGAATAAAGACGGATTCCGAAAACTGTCCTATGTACGGCTTTCAGCACGAAAAAAAGAACGTATCTGCGCCTGACTTTGAAGACCACGCGCTACAAATGCTCCATCGTATAGTCCTGTTACAATGTGCCGCGTTAGGTGTCCCTCTTTTTACTTCTATTTTTTTTTCATTTTTTACTAGATTTATACTAATATTAGTTTGCCAAAGCCACAAAAACTATTAAAAGGATCCAAATCAGTTTGGAATAGTGAAAATATCGAAAATCAAAATACTGATCCCGCCGTCATAAATTAACAAGCGACCTGTTGAGGGTTATGGAACATAGTACTCCTTCGTTGAGTAGCGTGAAGGTTCGTATTTACTAGGCGATTTTGGGAACAGCGTGTACAGCAGCACACACATCCCTGACTCCCTTCTGGGCCGCGAAACACAGCGATACAGTCACCTGAACGGTCTTTTACGTTTGCAAGAATACGACTTCGTGGTGACCCCTATTTGATCAACGAAAATCACACACCGATCTTAATTAGCCACATGACCGAATTCGTTCGAAATGCTGTCTGCGTACATCTAACATTCGTAGCGAGAACCCGTTGTCATCAACAACTTTAACAGTTTAATCAGATCGCTTAAATATAAAGTGTCGGTCGTTTGGTTGCTACGCCAGATTCCAACAGTTTCATAATGTAAACCTTCAAGTGGACCGTTTATTCTATTTATTATATTGAAGTATGAGGTCAACCTTAATATGGGCCATCATCGGTTACCATATATGATTTATGCTTTTGTTTATGTTGATTTTGATTGAGCTTACCATATAAATAGTTGTAAGGTTGAGTAAAAAAAGCGCACTCATATCTTCCCCGTTAATCTGGAAACTCCTAGTAAAACTGCCTGGATGGAAAGTAACATCGTACGAGCAATTGTCGTTAATCTCTATCGATTAGCAATTTTTTGTATTTCTAAATGTGCTGGATATATGCACCACATTTGTATAAATAGGATATTTGTTCTCATTCTAAAAGGCTGTTTTTCGGCCAAGGTACGACGCATAATAACAACTTGTTGTTGGATCGTAAAAACGAATTATTTGTTCATAAGCGCCTATTCGACTCATAACGCCTCCTGGAATATCAAGATTTATGCGTAAACTAATCATTGATGTTTCTATTATCTTTGTGAGGTCTTATATGATACCTGGCCGTGGTTGAGTTATAATTGTCTCGACAATATCCAGTTGTGAGTGGTGGAACAGAGGAATGAGGAACTGTGATGGATCTGCAAATTTGAGTACAATTAGGCGAAGATTACATTGCCTTGAGTTGCTTAAACGTTATCGTCACATAGAATCGAACGTACCCTTATGATAACCCTCACGTTTGACATCTTATGGTTAACGATATGTAACATCGCAGAACTACACATACCCAAAATAATGGATTTGTACCAACCTTTCGGTCCTATTGATGTAGGAAGGGCGGATCTACCAAAGAGCTCCGCAGTTTTCGCGATCATCCCGACTGGTGTCAGAGACGATGAGGACAGCATATTGTGTACCTCAAGTCCTAACGGGACATCTTGCTGGAAAAGCATTAGGTGCGAGCCTCCAAACGCCAAGTTTACCTGTTAAGTTGTAGCAATACATAGTACATTTCAGAGCATCGTATTATATGGTTTTATATTGTACCTCTGCTGGTTGCTATTCGAATTAATTCGCGTATACGCACATTACGATGATGGCTATTGATACGTCTCTCTCCAGCAGCAGCAGCAGCAGCAGGTCTGTTCCCTTATTTTTATAGGTTGATGACATTGACAGTAATAAGGCAGCTGCGAACAAATTACGTCGACTAGCAGAAATAAGCCTGAATAGAGTTGAAAACATTGCCTTACGCCTTTACCTGGTCGCCAGAGTGCAAAAAACACTTGTCAACTCTGTAAAAAGCAACCTGTATACAGCTGCTCTGTGCAGAATATGAGCAGGTGAGCTCAGAGGCACACATTTTCATTTGTTTTTATAACTACGTATTTTTTTACAGCATTAGCTCAGAGCTATAACTTGCATCGCACATTGTTCTGATCGAATAAGGCATCTGATTAGCGTCCATTCAATTTCATAGTGTACTCGTAATCTGATAAAAAGTGTCACAGAGATAAGAAACTCGTCATCGGTATGGTCGCTACTAAACGGTTTAGATTTTACAAGAAGGACTTGTCGTCAATTGCTATAGGCAGCTGCCATTGAACGCATCTTAAATCTTTATTGGTCTGATAATCAGCGGGTGCAGATTTTCGATTGCAAGTTGCCGATATTAATAAAATTTCCATTATCCTCGCATTAAACGGTGCAGAAGCAAGTAAGAGGAAAGGCTGACATCGTAAACCACACGTAGAAAGTGATAATTCTCTGCCGGGCGTGAGAGAATATGCACGACGTTTTAAAAATTAGGTCAGAACTCGAGAAACGATAGAACCGGGCAAAAACTGTTTTTCTCTCAATGGGATGCTGAGGCGCTGTTTTATTTAGGAACTCTAATTTGTAAGAGTGACAGGTATGGCGTATTTTATTCAGAAATTTATATAAGCTGTCATTACTGTTGCCGAGACAACTCGCTTGTTAATTTATTATTGTACATTAATTAAAAATAATTGAGAGGGAAAAATTAAATAATTTGAATTAAAATTTAGTAATCCCTTATTTTGTTCCCGCTTTTTTCTTCAACACCTTTGTTGTTGCTGTTGTTGTTTGATGAAATTACTTAAACGTTTATCATTACGGTTATGACTTGGGAACCATGTTTTTGCTTAAAACTTCAATTAATCGAGCAAAATATTGAAATTAGTCTGAACAGTAGAGGGCTTACCATTTTTTTCTATTTGATAATATTTTGTCAAAAGTTTGAATTTTCGTCCTTACTGTGACATAGCTCTTTTATCTGTGTTCCCGTAGACCCGAAGGTCAAGCATTTTAAAATGGGTAAAGTTTGCCATTATCGCAATGCAAGCTTAACTCTGTATCTTAGATTCAATATTTTCGCACTTACATTTAAGCTGCATGCAAAGCACTTAAACCAGCATTCTAATCACTCCTTCAATTAAAAGCACAAGCTACATAAAAAAAGTTATCTAATATACAAATACCAAAACTAGCCCTATTCTTGTCATGATGACGCGTCACTAACAAACTACATAGATCAAAACATGGAAATTCTCAAATCTACGGAGTTAGCAACTCTTGGATTTTGTTTCCATTGTTTACTACAGAAATAGGATCTCGTATTGTGCTGTAGAAGCAACTCTGTCTGTACTTCCCTGTCGATTAACTTGATTAAATCAAATTGTTTCTAAAATAAAAAAAAAATGAGTGTTGCTGAGCTTCAAAAAGCAGTCAGTATCGTCCAAAATTATATTGTCATATGAGAAACCGTATTTACTACACAACCTTTAGGGAGGCTCTTACTCTGTGTATGTAAAGTTGTTCCTCTATAGTTTTTTCTAATAGGTCGAAAATTGATTATCGTATCTACAGTATATTTTTTATCATTTATAGCAGGTACAGGTTTGCCTCTTTTTGGGACTTTGCTTGACCTCCGTCACCACTTAAACATATCTTGTTGATGGCACCTTTTCAAGGTGGTCTATTTATCTTTTTTATTCCGTAATCTTCTTTCTAGCTTGAAATGCTCAAATTACTAAAAAATTAGTTGTACGTCTGGTACTGCGGTAAGCATTACTTTAGATACCTCATAATATTAAAGTTAATAAATCATGCTATTAATCGAACAACCGGTCTATTGGCGTGATGAAAATTAGTGGGTGGTAATTTTGACGAAAACGTCCATCCGTCGGCACCGAGCTCCCGCACCCATAGGCCCACAGTTGGTAGACCTTTCTCTGCTAGATCCCATCAAGACGGCATCACTCAAACCCATTCAAAAGAATATTATTAGTCTAGTGATTATCATCACGCTATTGGAGGCGATAGCACACAATACTCTATGTGAACTTCTGGCGCAGAACCGGAAAGCTGGACATTAGCATAAGGACACAAAGATAACGAGCGCTTTATTACCGAGATAGCTAAAATGTCGAATTTCTTATTTTTTTGTAGCAGACATCTCTTGCATTTGTTTTTTGGAAGGTTTGGGAATTTTACAGACTCTTTCTTTATAGACTATCTAACGCACCCGGATACTTCCCCATAAATGGTCCGTCGTATACGATTATAATTAAGCTTGTTGAGAGTCCTCCAAGACCAAGAGCGACAAAAATTGTTGCCAGATAATAATAATAATCAGGAAAAAAAACACAAAAATTAGGATTTAAAAAAGGTATTATCATTAAAATTTATATGAATTTTTATGGTTTCCATATTAGTTCATAGGTCTGTCAGCGAAACGCTGTATAGTTCTAACAAAATATAGGTCAACTAGGTTCCTAATGGGAACAAATCTTTGATGCTACATTAACAACAAAGCGGACTAAGTGAATAGACACACCCTCTAGCACTAGTAAGCCATCCGGCGACCCCTCTGAAGCTCTCTTTCCTTTGTTCGATATGAAGTCGTGTGTGTGGCAGTGCCATGGCCTCTTCGAGATCGCAGGAGCTGCCTCTTTGCATGATTCCGATATATCATTCGATCTCAGCTGTGTTGAATGTTTTTCTGCTATTGAAAGGTCTCTCCTTTTCCCCCTTATTTCAAAAGGGTCCGTCAAATACCCCGTCTCCAACTGACGCGCTGCGCTTGTAGCTCTCTCTTCAGGAAGACAGTATGTACGCTAGGGCTTATTCTAATTCTCTGTAATACTCCTCCGCTTATATCCGCTGTTTTCCGACAGGCTTCTGTATGTTCTATTTGGGTTTTTAGTCCAGCGCTATTTTAAGCCCTACCGTGTTATCCACAACATAGAAATTAACATGTCAGGTCAGCGAGCCGTTCGACCGTGAAGCTTTGTACGTTAGTGATCAAACGGCAGTCAACTTACTATATCCTTCACGTGTGCGGGCTTTTATATCTTCCGCGTGTGAAAATTGCAGCCGCAGAAGAACACAGCGATTTCTGCTCCAGTTTACGTAAAACGTAGCCTGAAATATCCTGACACACTAAGATGCTCATTTATGTTCTTATTACATCCTTTAGATGCGTTTTTTCAGTTTGCATACCGTTTAGTCGCTGCCCGTTCTTGCTTATCCTATAATATTAGGATGCACTGGTGCATCACGAGACTGCTATACCTTTGACAGCTTGAAGCACTTACACTTTTTTAGACTTCACTTGACTCATAGATTCAAGACGGTTCGTTAGAATCGTAGCTCACCAAAGTTATGCCCAGCAGACTAAAATTTCCATAAGCTCAACCAGAATACGTCTACTAGATCGAAAACTCCAGCCTTTACATCTGCGAATTTACTACTCGGCTCCAAGTAAGGAGGTACAAGGAAATGTCATATAGGTCTAAATAATGATCCGTACCAAAAGGCAAGTGGATTAGGTTATACTGATCGGACGAAAAACGTGAGAACCACTTGCGTAGACCGCACGAATAAACAGCGTTTCTGAGTAGTGCCCTAGCGTATTTCTATGTTCACGTTTTGTGATGAATGAATGTAAGCCTAATGAAATGAATATTATGTACGTGACAGTACTACGGTACTACTGCGGCCGCCTGACAGCAAAAAAAAGGTATAAGCAGACTTAGTAATCCAACGACCACATTAAGTAGTACGTATTCACGCCAACTAGATAGCCCGTTATCCGTAATAGGGCATATTTCTCTTTGCGAAGTGGCGAGTATTTAGGCAGACCCCAAAACATAGGTCCTTTGTTGCTTGAACAACATTCTACGTGGTAGCATAGATAGGAAGCTCCCTATCGCTATTAACAATATTTTCGGACGTACACAGCATGTATGCCTGTAAACAGTGACGCATATAATATACACTTCGGTTTACGGAAACGGATCACGATGCATACCCCATTCGAACTGATAATGCCTTGTAAGAAATATCGATCGGCAGCAACCAAGTAGGTAACTTGGAGTTGCATCATGCGACTTAGAAGCGTTGAGTGATTCCTTAGATAAAATCGACTATTTTCAACAAACGGGTGCTTTTTTATTCTGTCAACTTCTCTATGCAAGGATTGACCAAAGCAAGAAGAACACTAGTTCTCCAACCCGAATTTCTTCAGGGTATTGGAGTAGCACAGAGCAATTTCAGGAATGATTAGCGGGATGGGTTAGATTGGATGAACCACAAAGTGATCCGTTAGCCTTTCCGTTTTAGGATTTCTCATATTTTGCCATGTATACATTATTAATAGTCAAATCTGTATCTATGCATATTTTTAACGGCGTTATATACACGTTTTCCGAGCAGGGCATCGCTTCTTTCCACCGTATGATACTATTGGTACTACATTCGTTGCTTCTATTTAGCTGATTTTAGGGGCTGACATTTTGGGGCACAATACTTTAACTTAACGAATGTGCCACGTATTGGCCTTTAAACGGTTCTGACTGATTAGCGGGTTGATAAGTCGAAGCCAATGTAGTAGCAATAAAGTGAAATATCAAAGACAGAGATGATACATGTACCTCAGTAGCGAACAAACTTCATGAATGAATACAGAAACTTCGACCCGAATACTCCAAGCCAAAAAATCGCAACAAATTCTAGAGAAGTTTTGATCTATTCTAAGCAAACTTTGCTTAGGAACTTCGTCCTATACATTCAATAAAGTTCCGAAAATTAAATAGCGAATTGGTTATCCAGTTCTTTGCCGGTTTTTCGTCTCGACAGGTAATATGTCTACACTTACGAGTATCGGTCCGGTCCGTTGTCGTGAAAATAATTGGTACAACGATATTTTACTGTTGCTCACCTAAAGCAGCGGGTCTCTAGGCACAGGTAGAAATAAATGTCTATTTTGTCCGAAACCTTGGTATAAAATGTGATCTATTAATTGAAAGCTATCAGCATCTCCGTCGACCTGTAAAGAGCAACATATAAACAATATTGCGTTGATCACGTCCTTTACGTGATATGAATTGTAAAGGAAGGCGAGAATGAAAGTTGTGTTCCAATTATAATCTGTCGTCTGCATTAAATCTTTGATAAACGGACGCGTCGTGATGAACAAATCGAAATTCGAGATGTTAGAGAGCTACGTATGGAGCATATTTGTTTAGTAAACAGATCCCGAGAGACGTTTCGACTTTTAACGGAATACCTAAATTTCCACTAGGGAACAAAGACGAGCGTTACTGTGAAAAGACTTCGGATAGCTGAGGGATTTAGGTCTGACCTGGAATATTTGGGACGCCACGTATAAATGACTTGTTCACTGTTTCGACGTTTACATGATAATAAGCGTTTACTCATACCCTGTATGTACACGCTTTAGTAACGTGGACAATTTTATGAAATCTGGAATAGATTCGCTATTTGGTCGTTATTACCGGTACCGACATGACCATTCAGAGAGGTTTGGCCCTAAGCTTGAGTCGGTCAAGAATCGGCTATTTTGATTACATAGACTCAGTGGTTTGTGTTATAGCGAAGTTCAACTGTAATCGCCTATCGTTTGGTAGATTTACGCTTTGAGGAATACGAAGAAATTCAAGCACGTAAAATGATGGCAGAACCAATAGCAAAAGCTTGTTAGCTGAGCGCATCTTGCGCGCGTGAAATCAACTTTTTTCACCAGGTATCTATGGCCAACAACATAATGAAATACTACGACCATATCAATCTGGGTTTTCGTTCAGAGTATCTTTTTATACTGAGTTGGTACGAGTTGGCTCAAATGACCTCGTACAATATATACTCGACTCCATTGTATTGTTATTTCCCATAATTGCAAATCTATATTAGTGTGAAAACTAAAGCTTAGCAGCTCTAAGCCCATATATTTGTTAGCATCCTGTTGTCGATGTATCTGGCAACTTCTCATCGTCACGGATCGCATCTAAACGTCATGGCTATGTGCCACGTACTCATTTGCTGCTTCAAGTGGCCTTTGAAACTATCCTGTCGAAGGATTAGCTGTCAAAGCAACCGCGATAATACGTATGGATACGTACTCAATTTGCCAATATACATAGGTTTCATAATATAAGGATTGTACACCTTTCTGCTTGAAGTAGTATAGGAAACCTAAATGCAGATCAAACGAAGCGTGCGTCGCCAATATAGATCCCGCCATGTGATTTCATGTATAATTCGTACACCGTTGCGGGGAAAAAGCCAAGATGTTGACCTTCTCGCTAAATCTATTCGTAACGTGTCTTTAATATACAAACGTGCTCAACGTGCCTTATTATAAAATAAGGTAGAATTAGACCCGGATTAACAGAATTTTGACTTGCGTGGCAAAGTAATGGACGACACTATCAAGCGTTCCATTTTTATTGAATGGCTGATGATAGCCAGATCGGGCCGTTTGTCTTTTTCAGTCACGACCAGTTTTGAATTTCCTTTGTCATAGATATCGAACCTCTTCGAAGCCTACAGAGCAGATTTCCGTATATGGCAAGAGCGTAAAGCGGTTAACTGCTTTTAGGAGATCGCACTGTATAGGGTAAGTTCATATATTTACGCTGATTTGATGATCCGCAATTTATCTTATCACGTGTTTGTATTATACCAATACAGATTTCTATTGACTTAACATTTGCCTAGGTTTGCATTAGCCCTGTAAGAAGCCTAACCGTTTGTCCAATGAACCCAGTGTCTCATATCGATTTTAGGAAGCAGACGTGAAAATACCGCCTGATCCTTTAGTGCTTCCTTAAGGGCCTTCCTTCTATCTTTAAGTATAATCTATTATCTTTATCGCTCGATTTATTATCATTTCATTTGTGAGAGGACTGAGTGTCGTCAGATGAGAATTTCAAGATGGCTCAGCCTATAGTGTAATTGTTTAAAGCAAAAGAGGACAGATTACACAAAGAAATGAATTTCTCAGAAGGCTACCCTGAATAGGATAGTCGTGCAGTATTCTCATGCGTATCGCCAATCGTATTTAAGAACTTCTTAGCGAAGAAGTGCCGATGCCAAGCAAATCAGTTAACAGAGCGACAATCGCTCTCTCAAGCTTCATTTTAAGCTTGGTATGTAACTAACCGTTTAGTTCTGATTTTTTTTTATACTTTCCCACTTGTTACCTCCGATCGTCGATTTAGTACGTTGTCCTGGTATACATACCTCATCCACTCTGCCGCTAATGTACGTCGTGTTCAGTTGACCTTTTCCACCGGTGACGTTTGCGGGTGTATCCGATGCCGCCATTGCCATTAAGTCTTAGTCCGGTGGCAAATAAACATCCGTCAATACGACTCTGGCAGGGGCACTTGAATTGTCCGATCTAACACGGCTTGTATACAGCTTATATATGGCGTATCAAGATATTACAGGTGTATATTACTTTGATATTGTTTACATGGAAATCGCTAACATTTTTAGCATGCCCGTCCAGTGCTACGTTATAATATTTGGCATTTTAAGGCTGCATAGTAGACGCACTTCACCAGTCATTTTCGGCCGGACGATTTGCAGTTATATCACTTTCGTTAGAGTTAGGGCCGTGACAATCAGTGACATCTACTGTATAATCCATACAGAACAATTCCATGGACACGCCTAACAACAATCGAGCCACTCAAGTCAACTTTAGCCAATGAACAACTGCTGATCGAACAAAACACCAGCAGCGTGCGTTAACTACGCGGTATAAACTATAGTTTTTCGAAATAGTTCTGCGATCCATTCGATGCTCTCAAACTTAATTTGGTCTGTTCGCTTCCTTTTCTTTAGAACGTGGGTAGTCCGCTAGGTTATGTTTGTAATGCAGTACATCAAAGACAACTTATCCATCTGTCACTGCCTGCTAAAGCAGCAAGCAAAGAAAGGGAAATCCAACTCTATCTTGTCCACTTCGTGTCCTAACTGGAACAATCGATCATGAATCAGTTGAAGGCAAGCTTTACTGCCGCGTACGAACATTTTATGGAACACAGATACTAACAAGAACTCTTATGCTGTTCTAGTTGATCCTGGCCTTGATTTTAAATTGGCCTTTGTGATTTGTATTTTTCTCAAACACTCGTTGGCTGTAAAGGATTAATAATAGATGATAACGGGAAGCGACATCCAGACGCCGGAGAGACTGTCAATTTCTTATGTCGGACTCGTCTGGAAGACTAGATAGATTTAACCTCTATAGAGATCTATCTCGATATCATCGATCTTGATCAATATCATCGATATTGATGAATTTTGATTAGCATATTCAATGAGTAAATGAAGGTCTATCAACGTTGAACTTGTAAAACTGGCAACTTATAACTTCATTGTACTAGTCCTCTATCCGTCCACTTTGAAATTTGGGTTCAAATTGAAACAAGACTGACGCGTACTGATTGTGGTTTTCATATTGTTCTTTCACGACTATGTAAATTTCCACGTATTTCCTAAAATCGTTCGGAAACTGTGTATTCCATGGCCTGATCTCTTGCGGCATATGGAATAGGCTATTTTCTCACAGCCTACAACTAAATGTCTACAGCTACGACACTTCTGTTGCATTCTAAAGCTTTTATTAAATATCATATTGTAGTATTAATGCAGACAAAATTGGTCACAAAAATTCGTGTTCATTTTGCAGAGTGACTGATTCGAACCGAACGGACTCGGCCTTTCGTTATGAAGTATCGCATATTGCCTGTGAAATTTAATATGAAATACTAACGATCACATTAAAGAAGAAGCAAGTATTATCATCTGTGCTTTGCCCGACCATATCTTTCCAACAGCCCATATCCGTTCCTCTTACTTACTTACATACACGTATACAGAATGAATGTTTGTCGTCAAAAGCTCGCTAAACGACGTTGAATGACGCGCACGGAACTACCCCGATAATCATAATACTGAATAAGTATACCGTAATATGTATGCAATCGATGAAGCACCGTCTTATGCAGAAGACGGTCGAACGTTTGTCAACTATGAATGACACTTAAGCATATGGAGAAAAGTTTAACAAAAAAGAGACATTTTGCTAGGCAAGGCGAAATGGTAACAGCACTACAGCGCCTCTACGTTTGAAAGATAAATGTTTCGAGTTTTACGTCTGGTACTGCCGTTCGCTTCGAATTTATCCCACTACGTGCCGCAAAACTAGTAGGCAAACCCGTTACCGCTACGCTATCGCAGGGGCCGGGTTGAAAGACGACACGCGTGGCGCCACGGCCTGCCGAGAACAGCGAGACAGGTGTTTAACCGTTAGGGCGCTCGATACAGAGGTATATCGCAGAGTGCGTCCGTTTATTAGACCGTACTGTCTAGAATCATTAGGTGGTAAGCTTGTCATTTTACGTAAATATCAACTACGTTATTTACACTGTATGAGTTATTTGCCGGTAGTGTGAACATAGAGAAGTGCGCGCGCGCGCGCGCGTTCATGTGTGTCTGTTAGTTTCTATCGGTATCCTTATGAGGAACGTGTTGTGTATATACCTAGATACTCCTGAAAATACCACCTCGTCTATGCTTTCTATTGTCCGAATAATTTTTTAAACGCTACTCGTTCCGAATGAGGAAGACAATCGAACAGTGTTAAATGCACCTTTTAAGAAACCAAATGACGCATCTACTATAGCTAAAGGATAGAAGATACGCTATATTTCTTGTTACAAACGAACTTTTAGCACCTTTTTGAGAGAGGAAAAGATCGTTAAACATTTTACATCTTGTTGACCAAATGGAATTGTCATCCGATCGTATCATGTAGAAAAAGCGATAATTAAAGTTAAAGTGCCAATAATGTAGGGAAATGTAGTAGAAAAAAATGAATGAATTTCTCAGATACGAAAAATAAACCATTGGTACAGTTGCCGACAATCGATGGTGCTTCTTCTAGCTTATATGACAATTACCCAGTCACTAAAAAGCCCATTTGTACTAAATCTTGGGAACCTAGCAAATACGCGAGGAGTTCGTCAATCGAGTTACTTTGGCATGTTCAAGAACTAATCGCAAATAGTTTGTTTGACGCCAAACCTGACTGGGGAAAAAAGCAGAAATTCTATGAACACAGTTCAACGCTGGAAGATTAGGTCCTGTAAATACCACCATTAGCCATGACACCACGCGCAAAGATGCGTGTTGAAAGCGCATTTTTGTTTTTTTTTTTTTTATAGGTGTTTAAGGCGGATTTTCATTCTGAACTTAGGCTCATTTCATTCAATGAAGCGACCCTCACAACTGGGGTAGTTTTTATTAAGCGGCTTCTACAGCATAATACAGAAAATAATCAAATTTGCACAGATATTTTTTTCACTTTCCCTACCAACAAGAGGACGATATAAAAGTAAACACGCTAGCCCAAAAAGGCTAGGAAATAAACAAGAACGGGCTTTTGGCTGTCATCGTAATCCTTGTGCAAGCGTCGCCTCTTCTTTTATTCGTTTGTTCCGCTGTGCTGATGGCAATATACTGCCTTAAGTCAATTTCGTCTTTCAGTTTGTATAGGTAAGTGTGTTTCTACACGTTTTCAAGTTCAGCAGAGCAAAGTCACACAGCTCCGATACCGGTTATCAATGTGACTTCTTGTCTATTTCTAGCCCCACTCTAGGCAGATGCTACTTAATCATTTACTTATTCGCCCTTTTATCGGGTGTTTCCTTCAAAAGGTCGCGATAAAACTTAGCGGTGTTGGCGCTGGTTGTTACTTAAAGGAAGTTTGTAAAAGTTCAAATAGATCTACTCCAGTCTACAAGTGTTCACAAGTTGCGAAATAAGACAGGCGAAACAGATGTTTGTGACAACAATGCTAGACAACTTTATACCTGAGATGATCATACCAAACACAAACTATAATCCTAAAATGTGTACAGCTACGGTACATCGAAATCGGTCACGAGAGTAAGGATCTACATTGGACTAACTACGCTACAAACAGTATCCAAAACAGTACTGACGAAGTGTGTGTTCCTGGGAAAATATTTTGTACACTGGCGCACTCATAACGTTGTGAACACATAATAGACATAAATATTAATAGCCACATTCTCCATCTAAAATGCAAAAGTAAGACATAGTGGGTTTCAATGGTTTAACAATCACAAATGATCGCCATTTCTGCCTCTGAGGAGACCAGAGATGGCCTGCGAAACCGCCTGGACGTCATAGATACCAATTACCTGAATCCGCCTACTTCTTTGCCAGACGCTGCTATTTCTGTTGTCAGCCGCTGGCCGATACAACGTTAACTTGCACTGAATTGACTTGTACTTCGGTATAATGTATATCGTGCATCGAGCAGTTTGATCAAGGAGTGTTTTACAAAGGCTAAGACATAACACTATTAATGCGATAAAAACCACTTCGTACATCGCTTTCGGAACAAGTTCCGCTTAGATGAGCTAGTAAAGCTTTTATCCTTCGCATTAAGATAGATCCACTAAACTCTATATCTACACAAGTCACAGGAAATGTTGTGCATTGCTACTTTAGGCATTACCCAATGCTCGCCTAAAGCGGTACAAAGGAAACCAAATCATTTACTACAGCAAAATATTTCAGGATTCGGATAAAACTCTGTCACAAATTATAGAGGAGTTTTCAAATTATAGAGAGAGTCCACAGGATTCGAGCCCCAATGCTACGAGCCAGGCCTCTCATTCTTTTGGGGATTTTGTGGCGTCACAGCGGTCGAGAGCTTTCTTCGAATACGATCCGTAATATTCAATACTGCTATCGAATTTTTTCGGTCATAGACTAGCGCTGCTACTATCAGACTCTGCGACCTTTACACCTACAAGCACTACTGCATAGCGAAAGCTGAAGTCCGCCACTAGATATATTCTCATACCTATATATACGTATATAACAATTCATTAATACCAAATTAAATATATAAGTACATCGTCGTGCTATAGGCAATTCTCATACGGTTCTAAATTGTTGCGTGCGATCCGAGGCTCACAAAAAAATAACAGATATTATAACCTCCCAATGCTAAATTTTCATATCAGAAAACGCTATTCTAAATGCATCTAATGCTTTTTACCAATAACACACTTGCGCTTCAAGTGCAGGGCGATGCTGTATGACATGATTGAAACGAAGTTGCAGTCCTAGACAATGTAGAAAAATGATTTGCGGGAGTGCTTTACCGCCCCATGGGGAGTAGCAATAGGGGCAAACAGCAAATAGGCTGTGTTTATAGTGCGATCTTTATTGGATGAGAGACGCAATTGTAAAGATAGAAGATTAACCCAAAAGCTCTTTTAGCTAAGAAAGCTAAGGATGATATTTGTCCAAAAAAAAAAAAAGAAAAAATACTGTTTTAGGCCACCGGGTCAGCGAATAGAATCTCATTTGAATAATATAATAAATAGTATAATATTAATGAAAGGAGTCCATATATACAGTAGACTGATGGGAGGATTGTAGAGTACTCTATACATTTTTGTACTATAATATTTTAAGCAGTCCGAACCAATAGGGGTTAACAATTGCAGAGTATCACCGGGTAATTTAAAAACTTTAACTCCTACGGGTTCTTATCTCTGCTCTAGGGTTTTGAACACTACAAAAGCTTACTTTCGTGAATCACAGTAGAAATGCGGATGGCTACTTACTATATTAGCAAAAATTCATATACATGTATGTATTGATCCCCACATAAAAATTACAAACTTCTGTCTGTACAAATAGGAAAATTAGATATGCGTAGTTACTGAAGAAAATCCGAGTAGAAGAAAAGCTGGAGGCTTAACTGCGTAATAACAGTTTATTCTATGAGTATCCTTTTGTAATGTTCCGAAACAAACAATAGTCCTAATCACTAGGACACCGTTCCTGCTGGCAATAACTTTTTCAGAATAAGCTAATCCAACTTGTATTTCGTTCGCTTGACACATATATTATGGGTATACAAGGAAACAGCCTGATATTTGCCCCGAACTCATAATCATGCTTATGCTCGTATGGAGCATGTTAATGTGTTTTGATTATTACCATATGAAATATTTTCTGTTTCTTCTCTATTAATATAGCAAGGAAAGAAACGTATTTGTTCAACTTGTATTTTTGTACATATTTAACTGAGTGGTGAAAAATGCTACTTGATAGGTAATTCTACTATCCTATAAAATGTCGAGGTGGACAAAATTAGGGGGTAATGCTTTTCATACATCTTGGAGCTGGCCACTCGCTAAAGAAGGTGTCGCTATCAGGATCCACTTAACATGGCATAATGATTAATGCCAGCCATTATACTTTTTTAATAATATACAATTTTAATCTAGCGGTCCTATTTCATTACGCCATAGTGGACGTAACATATGGGACTCACTTAAATTGGCTACGCTAAGTTGTATATCAGCAATTTTTATTTCGACATTTACGTCCTTGCGTAAGGTAAAAGCCATTTGTGGCCACATTGTGGGATGCAGGCAGTGGCTAGATAAGCTCATTATTATTATTAAGAGGCTCTGTACGGGTCTCATAGGCACTGAGTGAAGTCACGCCAGCTCTATGGATCAACTATAAAATAGGTATAGCCTACTCATCATATCATGCCGTCGCTATTTTTCCCTATATAATAAAATTCGAACAATGTTATCACGTCAGACATCATAGGGATTTTTTTTTTGATAGAGGCGTTCGCTTACCTACCTTGTCAAATCTTTCCTTATTGATGCTTTGGAGCGATCTTTTAAAAAAGAAGATGAGAAATTCGTTAACTACGCATAAGCAAAGTACCTAAATAGATAAAAGTCACTTAATGGAAAAGTTTTTCCGCGAAATCTTCTCTTAGTAAAAATTACTTTTTGGTGGTGCAACTATTATTTGGTTAGCTATGTATTTATCAATAAAAACAGAATGATTCCAGTAAAACATCAACAACGCTTATATATATGTATATATATATGTACACACGTATTGACATAGCTGTTGAAAGTATTTGAATATAGAAATCATCATTTTCCAAAACGGCAATTATAATAAACAATAAATAATAACAGTAGAAACGAAGATACAGTGCGTGTTATTCTCGACAAGCGTTTTGTGGGGGGGGGGGGGGGTAAACTTCTTGGTCTGGCATTTCCTTACTAGCTAATCGTCTATGTGTCGCTCTAATTAAGCAGCTTTATGCTAAATGATAGAAGTATACTGCTGTTTTGTCTGATTCGTGTATCGACACAGTGTGATATTTGTTAGGCCTTGGGATTAAGCTATTTCAGTGTTAGAGCAGTGTTTTATTTTGGAATAATTATCGATCTAAGCCATCATGTAGCAGCAGTCAATCAATGGCCAATGATAAATTCGCTTTTCATTCATTGCAGCGGTATCCTGTTAATGTAGCTGTCGTCTGAAATACAAAAAAAACGAGTCTGATATAGTGCTTTTTTCTCGATGGCATATTAAGCAACGACAATGGCAAATCAATAAAGCCATCTAGCAATTTTTCAAGTACTTGTTTTTCTGCTTTTGTTCAATGCATGTTCCAGCCGTCAGTCATAATCTGGTCGCATAATTGTTTTCATTATACTATGATTGATGACCTATTCAACAGGACCGGGTAAAGTAGTTCGATGTTTGAAGCCGATGTCTCGAGTGATCTAAATCATGACCATGAGGTAGCGAAGGATTGTCTTGCTAAGTAACGTTGCTTGCTCGATGATGAGATCTACTAGCTCTTCGTCGTCCGCAACTGGATCTGCCAGGTCCTGCAGATAGAAGCATGGCAGAAATCATCAATGAATTTTCCTCCTCTATATTCAGTGATTTAGTCTATTTTACATTTTTTCAGTATTTAAAATAATGATTTAAGACCATGCTGATTCACATTGCTACAGATAACCGTCTCGGTATCTTTTTCATTACGACATTTGTCGTACCACTACTTTTTAGATTTGCTTTGTGAAGTTTTTTTTTGTCTACTATGAGTCGCTTTTTTCAGTGGCCATTATAATAGAATGACTTTTGTTGTAGTTATAGGCCACACTCGTTGCGATTAGTTCGTTGCAAATGCTGCTTTGTAATAGGCTCACCGGAAAGAGCGAGTCATCGTCGTCGCCTCGACTCTCGAAGTCAAGAAGCGAAGATGGTGTTGCTGATTCAGGTCGGCAGAAGGACATCGTGTAATCCTCTATCGGTGTCGGGGTACTGGAGGCAGCTGTCCGTTCGAGAAAGCCACCAGAGTGCGGCAGGCAATCCCTGAACGTTCATTATTACTATTATTAACCCTGTTATGCCACCTACAGATGTGATTATCAAACTATTATATAGTAAGCTCTATATATTTGCTATGCACTGATGGCAACGGTATTCGACCCATGCTTGCTGCCCAGAAATCTATTATTATCGATTGTATGACGAAAAGTTATTTCTGTGACTCAATAAACCAATCCAAGTTTTCTAAAATAAACTTTCAACAATGTTAATAATATTTGTTGTTTCATGGGGCAGCCGTATCGAATCATTAGCTGTGTCAAAAGCTACCAGTTAGCAAGTGGAAATCAAAAACTCTTCGCGCCGACTAACGAAATTTACTCTGACGCTACGGCAGCGTTTGTTTAGTATCGTGTCAAGCTTTAACCTCTTCAAAATGCCGCTACGCGCCTATCATTTTCGCGCGTTCCTGTCCGTTCCTATTTGGATTTTTTTGTACTGAATTCAGCTATTTCAATTCTAATATATTCAGATAAAAAGCCTACATTGCATATATCTATCTATCTATTTACAAACAGTAACTACAAATCATTTTAAGAAGCGGCTCCGTACGTCTCGAAGAAGATGTCCGAAAGGATATCGTCATCCATCGAAAAAGAACGCGCCATCCTTAGACATCCGCTCATTTCGCTGCTATCTATTTTGCGATCACTGTTATCGACGACAATAACGGAATTAGAGCTAGGATTAGCGCCTGAGCGACTGGCACTCCCCCGTGGCTGCGTATCAGCATCTGGAAGACAGATGAGCTTGTGGGTGTAGCTTGATGATGGGTCGATCACCCCGCTTACCGCTGCGAAGAAAAATCACAAGAGAAAACAGCATAATTTTTTCCTTGCAGACATGGAGTAATCAACCGCGTTATAGTAATAATCATAACGACTTCGAGCTATCCAGCTCGATAACATCTGCCGTACCAGTGGAGCTAGCGGTGATAAGACGACACGAAAAACAAGCATGTACATAAAACGCGTCGTTAAAATATTGACGTCTTCTTATTAAAAGCCTGCGCGTATTCATCTATGCTAGTTAACTAGCTATAACAATATGAATATAGCGTATAATAGTAACTGGCTTGGTTGGCCGTCAATGACGCTATGCCAGTTGTTACCGAAACTTAACACGATACATTGTACGAGCGCATGATGAAAAGGAAGGAGAACGTTAACTTTATCCGATTCTGGTTGCTACCGGGAACAGCTTTCGGAACTGCTAGCTCTACACAGGGCTTATGTTCGCCGAACGATAGTAATCAACTTAAATCTATTACAGCTAGTGATGGTAATTTATTTTATGAAGTTAATAAGTAGTGGCTTTGCTTTCTGTGTTTGTAACCAAATGTTCGAACTTTGCTTGTAGTTATCCATTTACTTGACGTACAAAAGGTCATCGGTGTGGCTGAATTTATAAAATGTTTTATTTATCCAGGACGGTTAAGTAAAGGTCTCTTTTGGGTGACTCGCTCGTCGACACACGAATCTAACTTTACGAGAAAAAAAAAATTGCCTATTTCTTAGTTTTTCCTTACGCAACGCCGAGAACGACATCAGGCACTATTCTACGAGAGTGATATTTCAAACGACTAAAGAGTCAAGTATGACAAAATATAGTCGACAGTAAAAATCTCGACTCAGAAAATTCTGAAAATCAATTGTTGATCGTTCACAGCTATACACGTTGAAGCAGCTGAGTCAGAATTTCCTTCTCATAGACATAGTAGAATAGACTTCGAAAATAACACTAACACAGAGTATCGATCGGCGGCCCTCTAATACCAACGGTGGTAGCCGGATCAGTCAAAAGTGACATCTCAGTTCGATATTGCCCGTTGTTTTGGAAACTTGTGTCTGGTGGGAAATGTGGTAACTAAGACGCGGCGTGCCATTTGTGTAAAGTAAGATTATGGTGCGACGACCTTTACGACGACTTTGAAAACGTTTTCTATATCTGAGATACTCGAACTCTTTTTAACGATGGACCACCTTAGCAAGTAAGTTTGAAATTACTGGACAATAGCTAGTCGAGTTATGTTATTTTGTGTTATCATGTTATTTTGAACGTCGTGTTTTGTATAGCACATTTACGATAGAATTTTGAAGTACCTTAGGTAAGCGTTTGTCTTTTAACTGGATTTTCTTATCATCTACTACAGACTACTGCGACGAATTAAGAATCGGTGATTAAGCGAGCCTTCAGTTGAATTGTGTTGCCACTGTAAAAATAATTTGTTTCAACAACGAGTCAGTAAACTATGGTTTGATGTAGACCGCTTCCCACGTTAGATAATCAGTAAATATCACCTACTGATCTTGCTTGCCTAATTCAATTGATTTTTTCTTCGTAGTTCATATTGTTTATCACGACGAAGTTAAGTTTGATGCGTGCGGATCAGTCGCGTTAGGACGCACGACTCTCAGTGGTGCTAATGTTAGGAATACGATTCAGAAGTTCATAGGTGACGACCGAAGTGTAACATTGATTAGACCGTTGACGGAACCAACCCTGAATGAATAATTCCGAAGCCGCGTTTACACAACGAAATTGTCTAAATGGCATTAACTAGAGGCTCGTCTACCTATAGATCATGCCTATATCATTTCGACCTGAAATCCCTGCCAGCTCCTCAGATCGTTATAGGAACGATTTAATTGCTTCTATCCAAATAGTTTACCAGCATCGTTTAAATCCCGAGCCCATGGTTTCGGAGGCTGGGCCTCCAAATCTGCTGAAAATAGGATTATTATACTCCACATTATGCTTATATCAGTTTAGGAGCGTGATTTTCTTTTCTTAAAAGCAAACAAAGAAAACATCAACTCACGTAAGTAGTTATAATACAGTAAACAATTTTGGCCTGCTCATTATACGCACCGATAGAACAGGATAATACACGCAATTTTACACTCAGTTTAAAAACATCTACCCGGAATAGTTACGAAAAAAAATTCAGAAACTGCCTATGATAATGCTTCGCAGTTATACTCAGGCACCAAACTCTAATAAACCGTTCGTTCATACAGTTAACAGTTATCCTTTCATCCGTTTGTCTGTGTAGACAATATTTACAGGCGGCAATCGGTAGAAGTTTTCGGTCACTGGGTCATCATCCAAGCTGCCGGCGAAGTGCCGCGGCACAAAGCGTTTTATGTTTGCTCCGCGATTCGTTTTCGTGGCCGTCTGTTGTTACTTCCACTGCCGCAGCTTTCACCGACATTTGCGCAGACGCAAGCCGAAGATCGACATGCATTTGTTGTAAAATGTCGTTCCACTTTCAGCAATAATCGATGGATTATCAACATATTACCGTACACAGTAATGTGTATCGGTCGCTCGAGCTCAGGCCGTTGAATGGACCAGTTAGGAACAACGATGCAGGGTTTTGGAAGTAACATTTGACGAACCGCGTACGAGTACCGTTACAATGATTGCGCTGCTGCGCGCACTGATGTAAGGTCGCTAAATTATAAAAATCGAAACACGGACTAAAGGGTCTTTCTAAAAACAGCGCTTGCCTATTACTATCAGAAGACCTATTAGCAGAAGCCGAAGAGCAGGTGGTGACTGCGAGATAAATTATTAGCCTCGCAGTCACACTGGTGGTGGCTAATAACGGTGCTTCCTGCCAACGTTTGTTTCTCTAGATTCACAAAGCTTAATTGACTTAGTTCAACTATATACACTGGAACTTCAATATGTTATAATTATTAAACAATAAATTAGAGCTCAGTTACTGGATGGGCGGCCTTTCTAAAAGATAAAAGCCCAAGAAACGATGCTGCATACGAAGAAACCCGAAATGCTTTATGCTACCTAATACTTGTATATTCCATGTCCTATGCACTGATTCCAAGAGAAGACTCAAATTTGAACTTCGCCATATTGGAAATCCACTGCATAGAACGCAAAGCCAGCTACCAAGCATTTGCGGCTTAAATGCATACAGATAGTTTAAAACCTATCCCAAAACGAGAGTATGCCTATTTGATTCTTATCGTGTGAGGAGCTCGCTGTGTCCAACGTTTTTCTCCGAGATACAAGTGGTTTTTGCTAGTATCACATCCATAGATAATGTTATACACACGCACAAATAGCATGTACACATTTTGGGAGAACTATACGAGCCTGAAGTAGTCGATTTCCTTGTACTCACAAGAAGAATCGGCGTCACCAGCCATCGATAACTTTGGTGATGTCCGTAATGCGCTCACACGATGTACGAGTTCGTATATACTCAGTTAGATTGTTCGTTCTATTTGCTCGACACAGACACTGTTTCTTAACGTGAGTCCTCCGTGCGGCTTGCCAGCTAGCTATATCCGGACTGATTATTTCATAGTGAGCGAACATCGAACTGACGGCTGATGACAGGACATAATCGGTCACAAGCACTTTAACGGCACCGTTACGTTCGCTTAATCCGAATCGTGATCTATGTTTTTGGACGAATTTGATTTTTATAACGTCCGCTGTTGTTCAGAGGTCTGCGCGTCTTCCCGGCATCGTGGCCCGACGTTCGCAGTAACCCATCGGGAAAAGCTTCAACAAGGGTCTAAGCTGCTCTTGCGCTGACTTCAAGTGTTGAAAATGATCGACAACTCATTTACTAGCTGACTAAATGGCGGCTGGCTGACTACACACAGCTAGCCTTAACACAATTCAATAGAATCGTTCGCAGCGCCACCATGTGCTCAAAGCTAGCCAGCCGTAAGTGAGACACCGATGTAACTGGTTCATAAACTGCGTTTATCTAGTGCGCAGCTCTCGTTCGTCTCTTCATTAAAGCGGCGTTGCCGTCCTGGTTGTTGGCGGGCTGCAACGTGCACTAATGTTCGTACTGGTCGCTCTAGTAGACGCTGGTAGCGATCACAGCGCTAGAGTGGTCCTATGCAGAACTCGAACTACCTACGTCTGTGTTTTCAGCGTTGGCGGTTATGGCGAATAGGCAACCCAAAACCAGACTACTCTGACTCTTTTTTTTCTTCCTTTGTTACTTTACATTTGCATCAGCTACACAGAGCGTTCGGTGTATAGCAGTTTAATTCTCGTGCGAGCCACAACGCCATACACGCTTCAAGCTGAACAGAGCGCTTGGCTAGCACCGGCAGATTAGCAAACGAACGATTGGTACGAAACAACTGAACGGCGACGATTTCTGCTTTCGTTTGTGGGTCGGCGACGTTGCCGTTAGTACAAATTGCACAGCAGGCCACTTGCTACAGGAGGCGAAAACACCTGCCACAGCCGTAGTAGGCCGAAGATGAAAAAGTATAGAAAATAAATAAGACGAAAATGAATCTAGGGAATCGGACACGCGCACGAATTCGACTGCGACACTACAAGCTGTTGCTCTGCTCACAAACAAATCTTCTTACGGTTGCTTCGGTCTGCTGATAGTTCTTACCGGCCCAACTTTCGGTTCGTCTTGCGGACCTCTTCAACAGCTCAAAGTCATGTATGTGTGCGAGGTCCTGCGGCTACCTTTTTGAGATGCGTCGCTTCTGCAGGCCGATCGATTGGCATTCGCTGCCGCAGTTTTTTTCCACCAGCTACAACATCTGCAAGTGTAATAGGACGTGCAGCTGGTACAGCGACGCGGTGGTTACACAGCCCTAGCGTGCCACGTGCTGTTTACAGAAGCACTTGCACTAGTGCTGGGGACCGCCATCTTCGCCTTCATCGCACCCCACAACGCTATTTTTTTACTATTGACCCAGTGACGACTGGGTCGAATGAAGTTACGAGTGAATAACAAGCCCCTATGTTGGCCGCTCGCTCGCCACAGCTGCAGTCGACATTTCAATGCAGCAATGAATGCAATGGGATGCAACGGAACGAAGGCTGTTTCTTCTAACGCGAAGGCAGAACGATGATAGTTCCGTCTTCGCTTCTTGCCGACAGCAATGTTGTTGTCATTGTTGTTGTTGTTGTTGTTGCTCCCGCTGTTGGAGAAATTGCTAATGGCGGTAACGATCGTGCCATATACGTATCCGATCAATCAGTGGCACGAGGCTCCTTTCCTGTCTGCGTTCCCGCTGACAGTGAGAGCTGTTCGTTAACCACGAACCGCTAATACAGCTCCTCCATTATACGGTATGATGTGCCTACCAGCGTCGTGAGCCGTCAAGCTGCTTGGGGCGGGGGCTGGGCGATGCAGAGAAGATACTACAACGAAATCGAGATTTTCGAAAGGGCAATTTTCAGTCAGCATTGTCAAGTGTCGATGCCGCGGTAAAGAGTTGCTACACACTCAAGCTTGGATCTCGAAGGTTTAGCAAGGGCGATAAGCTTCGCATCGCAAAAGGGTGCAGAAAACTTTTGCTAAAAATAAGATTTGAAGAACGCTGAGGCAATATCGCCGCACGAACACGAACTGCGGTTGTTCGCCATTGATTACACAACTCGAGATAGAAGCCAGCTACTAGTTTGTTGTAGAATTCTCGTGTAAATATTAGTTGACAATGCGCCTTGCTTAACAAGGATACGATGTGCGGAATTTAAGTGGTATGAAAGTAAGATTAGAAGAGACAGCTACGGGCCAGTACTACAGTATAGCCACATTTCGTGGACTCTGTAACGTCATATTTCTACTAATATTTCATAGAACGAACGTTTTACGAGTACATTTAACGTTTTATGATGGCAAGCTTAAGACAGTGAGGTTGGCTCCTCAGAACTAAAAATTAGCAATTCTCTGATTGTGGTAAGTTAGCCTAGCGTGTTTTCGGGTCGACAATCCTTTTACAGTGATACAACGTTCTGTTTTGAAGGGTTCTTCGTTGGTCAGATTATAGCTCATAGCGATAGCGACGAACAAAACAATATTGGGAAAATATAGACATTAAAAGTTCTGCTAAGTTATATATTGTCTAGAGCTGGTTGTTTATCACAATGAAAATCGTTCGACCAAGACAATATCTTTTCAAAAATAATCAAAAAACGCATTCCGCCATGTTGATTGACATAGAGGAATACGGATGAACTAGCAGCTATTGATGTTATGAGCCCACCAGCTATATGCCTATGGTTAATAAAAGAAGTAGAAGAATATTCGCCGCCTCCAGGGGGCATAAGCCGTCATCAACAGCCGTACCCAGCCATCAGACCGAAAAAAATTAGACGAATTTTTGTTCTGTCATCACACGACTCATTCGGAGAAAACGCCAAGCCATTGTAAAACTGATGGTCAAGCAATCAGCTTGACTTTTCTGCCATTAGAGCAGAGTAGATTTAGAAAAACCGGTAAGCGAATTGTACGATTAAGTGAACCCGCTTAAGTGGGGATTAGGCGGCTAAAAAGGTAACAACTATTAGTATTATAAAAAAAATCTCCTAAACGAGTTTGAAGCCTCTCTTATGGTCTATATGTACACGTTTCGAGCATACGCAAACCTGGCTAATATAAAAAATCGATTTTACTGATTCGGAACACCATGGCGCAAACATTGTTCGTTCCTGTTTAACGTTCTGACGATATCCAGAAGAGCGCATCATAATGCTACATTGCAGTTAACATTTTGTATCAGCTGGTATTCGAACATGGTATCGTAGAGAACTCTGAATTTCGTATGAAAAAAGATCTGCATGTTAATGTAGATAGCAGTTAAACCGTAAGATTTATCTTGACATGATTGCGAATTCACGTGATAGGCATTTTCTAAAGCTACGCTTCTACCTGTGCCACGGCTGTGAACATAAGGGCATGCATAGCTTCTACTACACTACTTGTTTCCGTATAGCTTATTAATCTATATTACAGTATGTTACGGTACGCCGATACGCTCAACTGGCATTTTTTGAAAGTTGCGGAACTTTTTTATGCCTACTGCCCGCAGAACGGGGGGCTATCCTATTAGGAAGGGAACAAAAAACATCGCCATGGTAAAAGAGAATGCCCTTGACAGTTGTTATCGTTAGCAGTGACGTGAAATAACGCTGGCTCGATCGGCGGAATGACGGAAAGTAAATCAAGGAAGCCTCATTTACGTAATCAGGTGACAATGGCAGTTCCATTAGTATCAAATGATAATTTAACTGATAAATTTACAAGTAGAGAAATAAAGAAGTTAGAACTGGGCTTAGAATGAGGTTACGCTCTTGCATTATCAATGTTCATGAATATCTAGGAAAGAGAGGTATATATTTACATTTATATAATATATTAATGACACCTGCTGAACCTGTGTGAATGCGCGATTATAGGTCATCTTCACCTGTACGTTGATTTCCGCAAAACTTTTACTCCGTGAATTTCTTACATACTCTTAAATGATTCTTTTTGCGATAAGAGACTCGCGCGGGACATTTTAAATGGTGCTACATTCATGGCTCGAATCGAGCTCGTGTAGACTCGAATCGTCAGCGTTCCACGGTTGAACGTGGAGCAACTGTGGACGAAATATGGATCAGAAAATGTTTCGCAGTGACTTCAGACCTTGTTATCCAACCGTCCTTTGTTTAAATGCATCACTTCCATATATTGTATTCATCTAAACAGAGTTACAGGTCAAAATCAAATTTTTTGCTTTAGCATTTCAAGGCAAAAGCTTTTCACGAGAAATCTGCGCTAAGAAAATTCTTCTGGCTAGTTTAGGACAGAGTTTTAACGTTCCAGGTTAGCTACATTGTAAGACAGTCTATATCTGGGTTTAGCCCGAAATAATAGTCTCTTAAAAACTATTACGCCAGAAAACATACATTCTATGCTTAGTTGTTTTAAAGCGAAATGTTAACTTCCAATGCCCGAATCGGAAAAGTGTTTCGAAAGAACCTACGCATTTATTTGTGTGTGTTTTTATGTGTTCCGCGAACTACCAAAGATATACAATGGATCGTAATAAAGCTATTCTTTATTAAATTGAATTAGATCCTGTAATATACGTCAGTATATCTCGTCGAATAGCTTTGCGTCTATATACATATATAAAGAAGCCGCATTTTGTAAACAACTGTATACGCAATTGATTTTACAGTATAAAATAACCCTGCCTGGAAGTCAAAGGTTGTCTTAAATAAAAATACACTATAGAATGGCTATATCGTGAAATTGTTAGCCGAAGAACTACTCCATGACTATATAATGGGCCATTACTTTCTATTATACATGGGTACGTAAGGCAAGTTCGCTCCACTCTGCGGATTTGTCATTTGCGTTAGACTTTTTGTTCGCTATCAGATTGTATTATTTATCCAATAGTAGATAATAAAGTTCTACTAGCATACTACGATATTTGCTATAGTGGTAAACTAAATCGGCTGCACAAATTGCACTTTCTAACTGAATAACTAAGAAGGCTGCCATATTTCAACATGAAGAAATGCGAGCCATGTTATACAAAGTGCCGCTCATCTCGTGACCGCTATGAACTGTTTCGGTGCAGTCGCGATGGGTCCTACATTTACACATTTCACTACACAAATATGACAATACTGCATGTTAGATATGTGTTTTTTTTTTTTAATTATCTATTCAGGCATAATTCAGAGATAAAAAGCTGCCTAAGTAAACCCCGCTGAATTAATATCTTCCAGCTATTACGTATTCGGTGGGGCTTTAAACACAGATTAGGGCATTGGTCGATTGAAACTCCCATTTTATTTAGACTATACTAACAACGGGACTGGCGCCGTAATCTTACGAACTGCAATGACCTAGTTTAAGCGATTTGTAAAATTGTGTTTTTTTTTTTTAAAATGGCCCATAATTAGTCATTAAAATATACCGTTGACTATATAGCGCGGAAGATAACGTATCGATTGACGCTAAATACGATCGTATTGCCTCTGAGCGAGTAGGTGGAAACCTATACTTTATTTACAGTTTTATTATATAATCGATCAGATGAAGAGTGCTCCATTCGAAAACACGTTCATATGTAGATCGATATGTATGAAGCGAAATCAGTAGTTGGAGTTTAGGCTCTGCAAAAGGTCGCCAAAATGCTATGATTATAGGATATTAAAAAAATAAACCGTGTACGAAGTAAATAAAGTAACTGCAAGAACAATTTCCACGTGAGAGGTCATCGATTAGAGTTATAGAACGGTGATTATGTTTGTTCGGATCTTCCAGAGATGACCGTTTCAGTATCGAAAAGCGTAATGCATATGGCATCGATTAATATAAAAATGTAACAATCACGGGAAAGAAAATATTAGCGAACGACATCCGTTCTAATACTACTAAATCTAAATATTTAAATTTTTATTGTATATTTTAACATTTATCTTTCCAGTATGTTGCGATATCCGCGTTACGTTAATACCACCTTGGAATTCTCTCAAAGCGAGTCAGTTAACCAGCTTCTTCAGTTTACCGTTATCATCTCGAAGCGTCCAGCGGACAGAAGAGAAATGTTTCAGGGATTTGGCCAATTTCCATTGGGTTTACATTTGAACCTCTTAAGATGTCTAGCTGCCACATTCGATGAACTTGTTCAAACGTTGCTTTCAGCCGTGTTTTGCACACTGCGACACATCCAACTTACTAGAAAATTCTTCTTCGCCAAAGTTCTATAGAACACCCGACGTATTTACTAACTAGTCGTAAAAAAGCATGCCAATAAAACACAATAAAA